AAAAAAAAAAAAAAAAAAAAAAAAAAAAAAAAAAAAAAAAAAAAAAAAAAAAAAAACAAGCAGTAGGTAATTAGATGCATACAGGTGAACTCGATCCACGATACCGAATAAAACCTTGACCGCATACTTACCACCCAGGTGTACCAGGCTCGCTCGCACACATAAGAATAAGTGCAGCCTTGGCAAGCGAGGAACGCGTGTTTTCGTCCCGAAGATCGGCACCTCGCTTCGCCTCTCCTAATCGCTAAGCGATACCCATGCACCACCGGGTCAGAGCAAGTATAGTGACGGCCGCGGTATGAGTATACACACGCACCGTACAATGATATACCTATTACCGGCCTCTTGGATGAGTTTTTATTTCTTTTTTCCTTCGTTCTCCGCGGAGCTGCAGTTCCAGAGCAGTGATTCCGGTCAGCCCCGAGTAGCGGTACCTCGTCTTCGAACGACCGGCCGTATACCATCGCCACCTTCTCTCTTCCCCCCCCCCCCGCTCGCTTGCTTTGTTATTAGGTGTACCATTATTTTCTCTCGAGGCTCGCCTCCAAGTATTTTCGCTGCTGTCCGCAGACCATAGTTTCTTCGTTCCCTCGTATATCACAGGTATATGTATATAGGTGGTACTTACTGTGTCGCACCTTATTATATGTAGGTACTACTCTTTTAGCTACCGCGGTGGGGTGATATGGTTTATATATAGAAGGGAATGCCGGAAGCGGAGGTGAGCGTCAATTAATGTGCGCGTACTTTAGCTATACGTATATATACGTGTACATGTGCACCAAGAGATAATCTCAATTACGCTCTCTTGGGTGGAATTTAGAGGCCTTTTTTTTCTCATTTCTGCGCACTTCCCCCAAGTTCAAATGGAGAAGAAAAAAAAAAAAAAAAAAAAAGTAACCTTATAAATACCGATACGGGATGTTTGTTTGCTATCAACACCTATTGAAAATATTTCGAATCGTTTTATACTTAGGGACGGCGCACTCTCTCGAGCGTACATTCATTAAACGTATACCTATATTTATGAACTCGAGTATCGGTAAATTAGATATATACAAGCTTGCGAGGCGGTAAATTTTATCTTTATCAACCGATAAATAGATTTTATCGTTAAATTGAAAAAAAAAGACAATCGGTTAGAATAACTGATGCACTCCACAAGTATTTCAGGTCGAGGGGTTTGGCGGGAGATACCGATTTCAACGAATAAATCCCGAAATCTCTCCTTAGTTTTGCATTTCAGATACGAAGCTTAACTGTAAACTTGGCATAAAAAAGCACAAATGGTGTACAATTTGAGCTTGAGAATTACGAAAGAGGAAATAAAAGTACGGAAAATCATCTAGCATGTACATAAATATGTAAGAGTGGCGATCATTCAACTTTGATGCATAACTTACGCTAAATTTAAGGGCAAATGTATAACTCTCTTGTCTAGTTTATAGTATACATATTAATGATGACGAATCCTTTATCGCGGTATGGAGATGGATACATTGACTATTTATGTACACGTGCATCCATATACAGTACATCCTTTTCTATACAATAGTGAGTAGTGGTACTCGCTGGAATCTCGCGTTCTCATCGTATCTGTCCATTGTGCGCCGCAGACGTCTGGTCTGCAAGATTTTGACGTCAAGGGATGCCGACGGCTACACGCAATGTTGTATGAGGCCGAGTTTGCGATCTGATTTAATAATTGGTTGGTCGTCGCTCGCTTGCCCGTCTCTACTTTTGTTAAGAAAAAAAGTCATCCACCATCACAGCGAATGATCCACTGCGGGGGAAAAATTAAAAAAACAATATTCAACCACCACACCTACGTACACAAAGAGTCCGTCAATCAGTCGCGAGATAATAAATGTGAAAGAGCCTTTGTTCCCGAGAGGAATAAAGTTAATATTTTTCCGAAACCCTCCCTCGAACTATACAGCTATGCTTGTTATGATTATTATATTCACGAAGAAAATCTCACGATATGCATTACATAGAGTGCAAAATGAGAAAAATCCAGGGCGAGGAGGGTGAAAAAAAAGGAAGACACGAACATCTTTCGAGCTGCTCGAGTATACCCACATGCCTTTGGCTTACTCATCCTTTCCTCGCTCTTTGCGCTCTCCCACGAGGATGAAGATCCAGAGAGAGAAGCTGATTCACGCGACGACGACGGGGTAGTGGGACGCTCGCGGGGCGTGTCGCGCCTTCGCGATAAGAGAAAGAGGAGGAGAATAAAAATAAAAAAAGAAGCGGCAAAGAGGGCATTCGCTCCTCTCTCTCTCTCTCTCTGTCTCTGCCTTTTGCCGTGTACTTACGTGTGGGTATATCCGTAGAGAGAGACTTTTCGCTCGCGAGGCACGCCGGTATATAACGGCTAATTGGCCGGGTCTGCGTGTGTATATATGCCGACAGACGAAGAAAGACGAAGGAGCTACGAGAAAACGTAGAAGGAGAGCGAGCGTCCTTTTTCTCTCTCTTTCTCTCTTTTTCTTTCCTTCCTTTCTTGTTGTGTGTGTGTATGCGTGCAGTGCCTCCTATAACCAACACTTGCTCTTTTGCAAGCGTGTACGCGCCAGTACGCGGTGAGGGGGCCCCAAACATGTATATATGTATACAGCAGGGCAGTTGGAGCCGCACCAGCTGGCCTGCAAAGTATATTATACCGTCGGGAGCGTATATACTGTACAGCAACGGGCCCGGGATGCCTCAGTTTATGCCACGAGCTCGGCCGGAGCGCGTAAGTATATACCTATTCGACGGTATAATACACCGACTGACGCTCGGAAGGAAGAGTGAATTCTGTTGGCTTCTTGCATGGCAAAATATTTTTTTTTTTTTTTTTTTTTTTTTTTGAACGATCGGCATCGTTACGGTGTGCGTGGCCTGTGCGTGCGGTAAAGTAGATATAGGGCCCCTGTTGCGGTGTCGAGTCGAAGGGAGGAGGTACACGTTATGGTACGGGCTCGTATTGGGCGTGAAGCGAGTGAGTTGTGAGCTGCGGGTGTGCTCTATTGTTGTACACGTTATCGAGAGAACCGGCTATAGCTGATGGAGGGAGAGAGTTGGTTCGTCGAGTAAGTACCTTATACCTACAGTTTTCGGACTATATTACCTGTACCGATGTCGAGAGAAGAGACGATTTTCTATCGCTCTTTATGAAATATCTGATGTATTGGGCAACGCGTCATGGGAGTTAATAAATATTTTTATTGATTTACCTGCGACAGGGTTGGCAGTTTTTAAAAAATAACGTTAAAATACACACCCAAAACTCTTTTCATATTACCTACATACAAGTATCTTGCGATTTCTCACGGAATCGGTAATGTACACAGCGTAACAATTAAGAAACCAGAGAAAACTCTTTCAGCAGGAGGGCTTGTCTTCATATTTTAATATACCTGTATACGCGTACGTACAGAAAGCGACTGTAGTCGGGGAATTGTTCCCCCCCTCCTTGAACTCCAAAATATGCATAGGTATTTTAAGCTATACCTGACTTGATACCCGCGTGTGTATTACCAATTCAACGATCGCATGGGGATACAAATACACAGTCGAATGTAAAGCTTCGATCGCGCATATATTTGAAAACAATGGTACCCGCGAAATACACACGGCTATACGGTAAACATATACGAAATGACAGCTATGCGTTGTATATTATGCGAATTTAGAGACGAGGTTCGGCCGATAAAATAATAAATGCTCACTTTTCACGAGCACGCATCAGGACATCACTTACCCTTTACACGTATTACGCAACGCGCTGCGATGTACGAGATCGGCAAGCGTGTGTGTATGGTGGGACCGGCTCGTTGGCGAAATTAATTAGGAGCTGCAATTACTTTGGATGCGCGCGTTGTTTATATTAAACGAGCCCGGCTGTTGTTTCCGCTTCCTCGCCGAGCGAGTCGAATACATTTTTCCCTTGTTGCCCCCTGGGACTGAGCCATATACTGCATACACAAATTGCCGGGGATTCGCCGAGCGTGGAATATTATTGTGCACACATGTGACTCATTTATGTAAAAAAAAAAAAAAAATCCGTCCATTAGAGTATATTATTTCTCTTGGTATGAGTCCAGAGACGTATGAAACGTGTAATTTTGTACACGTTCACCGTCTCCTTTGTCGCAGTCAAGGTAATTAAACAACTCACCTCGAGTCCACCGATTGGGCAAGGCGAGGACCGAGGTGGTTTTTTTTTTCCCCCAAAAGCATCGTTAAAAATTGTTGAGAAAAATCTAAATGTTTGCTCTCCCATTGGATTGTTGCAGGTCGCCACGAGTGGGTGGCCCGTTGTCGCAGTCGCTGGCGATGATACCACCGACGATGCACGGCCACGAGTTCAACCAGCCACTGTCGAGGGTCGTAATGGTCCGCAAGACGGACCAGAGGACGTTCAGCAAAGGCAGGCGTGGTGGCGACCCGGTCCTCGAGACCGTCACCAGAGAGACCGTGGAGTTGTTCAACGGCGGTCGCGCCGAGAGGAAGTACACCTCGGAAACGAGGGACATCGTCACGCCCAAGTCCAGCAGGTGAGTGCTGTTGCCTCCCCCTTCCATTGTACTCTGACAGTGTATACATATATACATACGTAGACGCCGCTGTTCTCCCTTTCTTCGGAGGAATGGTCGGCGTTGTTTTTTTTTTTTTTCTTGGTCACCGAGTGGAAGTCCTAATTACGGCCGGGTGTGCGCGATAGACCGTTGTTTTTTCTTTCTATGTCCACTGAGAGCCGCTTGGCTGTGGAAAACACTTTTTTTTAACGCGCACACACTTGTAAATCGGACGCTGACTCAGTTAATGGAGCTGGATACGCGATTACTACCAACATTAACGTCAGTCCGCGATTAAAGTCGATTAAAGTCATTTGAAGTTTCAATGTAGCCAAATGTTGAGATAACGGGCTATCTGTCGAAGTAGAGTATGAGATGATAAACAAGTTTCGAGGTGGAATTGTTGAAAAATTTCCTAGTTTCTGTTGTTTTTGCAAGTCTAAAAATAAACCGTGGTCTTTCCCAATTTGGTTGGAATTACAATAACTCGTGTCACGCAACGTGCGAATCCGATGACGGTGAAACTTTGAAAGCATATGCAGCTCGGTTCTGCCGAGGAGACAAGAAATACAAACGTACGATCATTTCTCATTTTCGGCACAAAAATATAAAGTAGTTGTACATCTTGCAATTAAAAAGAAAAAAAAAAAAAAAAAATCAACATATTTTGTATATTCTGATAGTTGAAATACACAGACAATATCGTTCCCCTTGTAGTAAGCCTTTGCTCAACGGGACAAAAAAAAAAGTCGTCGCCTTCGTCGACCAAGTCTCGCCCGACAGGTACTTTTACATGCACCTATACGTTCAAACAGACAGATGCGCCAAAATACAACACATGTTCCATATACAGACATTCTACACATTACACGTATACAAATATACACTGAAACACTCACTTTCATTCAATGCTCATTTTTATATATTTACTCTTTTTTCTTTAGTCGGCCCAGTGTATACATGTGTAATAATAATACCAACATTGCGGTGATACATGTATACATATACATATTTACGTGACACAATCCGGGCAAAGTGTGATTAATACGTCTGTACAAGGGGTCATTCAAAGTTTACGGTGCTACACTCATCTCGTGCAAAAATACTATGAATGATCGCTCGCTTATCCTTAATTTTATACTCCTCGCACTTTACCCTTTTCCAGTTGACACTTTTTTTTATTGCTTCTTCATGTATCCATAAATAATATGCTGCTGGCTTCTATGAACTTTTTTACGTAGATTGGAGAATCTTGTTCTTTCATCATACTCGGCTTTTAATCGAATCTTAAAAATGAGCCGTGCGTTGAAGAACAAAGACTCGCCCGGAATGATTGTAAATTCGTCAGATAGGAGTAACGAGGTATGGGTGCGCGAGTCTCGAGATTCCCTCCAATTGTATTCGAGCCAAAGGAGGCTAAATCTACGAGTCAACAAACTTTCGGGCCCAACACTCTCTTTTCTCTTTATGCCTGTACCTACTTGCTTAGTTTGCGTGAAAAAAAAGAAACGGAAGACTTGCGGAAGAAAGAAGAGTCACGAGTTTATCAAGAGCTGCGGTTGCTGATTTTGGGCTTGGCAACACTTTCGCGTTTTCGACTCTCCCGTGACGTTGTCGTGTCGCATTGAACGGCTCTCGAGTTGCTGGCTAGACGAAGAGACCAGAAGTGAAAGAACGTCAGTAGTATATAACAGCGTTATAGAGGAAGAGAGAGTGAGAGGGTAACAAATTGGGATCTAGTCTACTTGCGCTCAATGATGACCGGCTGAGTTGCTTTTTTTTTCTATTTGTGCCTTTCCTATAACTTTTTTTTTTTTTTTTTTTTTACTTTCTTTCTCTTTCCTATTTCCCACTTATATTTTCGCGCGCGTTAAAAGGCCGCTAAAACTTTATCTTTACTGTTAACTTGTTGCATTTATGTATTACCGTTTTTTTTTTTTTTTTTTTTTTTTTTTTTTTTTTTTCTAGACCAACTGCTCTCTGTAAAGTTTTATCGATATGGTACGGCTTTAATTACTGTGCACAGTGCGATGATCCAGCAATTTTTTTTTTTTTTTATTTCTCGCTACGTCGTTGGTCAGACTGTCGGATCTACTTTCAAAATTATTTGCAACCGAAATAAAAACTTTAATTTGCCAATGGACGAAGCGAAAAATATAACCGACTCGTTAAGAATGAGTATTCATAAATAAGCCTCGACATCCATAACGTCACTTTATTTATTAATGAATCAACGATTTGAAAGGAAAAAAAAAGTAATTTCAATTTACTCGTACGCGAGTACACATATATCAAAATGAAATCAATGATGTGTAATATCTTGAATTAGAGTGCTCACACGTGTATACGAATGTACATCCCTCGTTCACTTAAACGCTGCAACTGTATCGACTCGTAGGTATAACTGGGTATATATGCTTTATCGGTGTAACAGCTGGTATACATGCACATTTCCTTGCATATACCTATGTACAGCGCATACATAAGATCGATTACGGTATGACCTGCAGTGCAAAATCGGCTTTCCTGCATTATCAAACCTCCTACCCTGGGAATCCATACGTTCCCTCGTTATGTGATGGTCCCTTTCTGACACGTTACTTCCTTCTCCTCTCCTGACATTGACATTGTTGTCGTATCGTGCATATACACATACACCCGAGTTACTCCGTTCAAAGGATTACGTAACGCAACTACCGCACCGCACGCGATGATACCTCCCATTCGTGTGTACGTGAACTCGAGACCCGCACCTGGTTATACATGCGAAGAGGGAAGGTGAAGACTTCACACTCTGTGGAACAGATGCGGGCGACCCCTTCGCAAGCGACGGTGCTTACGTGTTCCTCTCTCGTGGTGTGCACATTGCACATAGATGCAGGTCAGGATTGACGGTCAGAACAACAACAACTATACCTATGCAATTTTTTTTTCTTTTCTTTAACGCAGGTAAAATAGCACAATTTCGCGATTTCCTCGTTTTATGACTTTATCCAACCGGTTTATGTTTTTCCGTACCGATCTACCGTGCAGCACCGTGATGGCTCTTTTGAAAGGATTCGCCGTCTGTGTAATCAAATTGTGGAAAAATCTTCATAACTGTAGAGCACTCGTGGCTCAAGGTCTTAAACATTTGATTGATCACCTCGTCATTTGGAAAAAATTCCCTCGGAGTGGGACCTCATTTAGTGGTACACCTATACACGGTGTGTATGTATATCAGTAGGTTTATCAATGGAAAAGAAAAAAAAAAAGATCAACAGGACACCTAAGCGCGCACGTGCTCTATCGAGAACACAGTGTAATCAAACTGTAATATGAGCATCAGAGCTCGTATGTGGTTTTCGTCACACTTTTCGACGCGATTCGGTTCCTCTTATCCCGTTAATTACTTACTCCCGAGTAATTGCGTTATACACGTGCTTTTCCAAACTGAAAAAAAAAAAAAAAAAAAAAAAAAACACGATGGTCATCCATGGTAAGAGTGCACGTACAAAATGGGTGGACTACGTTGTACACCGATCGATCGGTTAAATCTAATTTTTCTTTCTCCCTCCAAATCGACGGGACGTGAAAACTTTCGCCAGTCCGCTTCTGGCAGACATTCAAAAGTGTACCGCTCGGCTAATCGGCGCGAAATCGGAAGCACTGGCATACAACTGTCGCTCCCGGCAACGGTGCTCTGCTCTCCCTCTAATAGCCGTCGGTGTCGTCGACTGTATACTCTGCATTATGTGCCCACGCTTGAGTGACGTTTTACCTATCGGAGGAGGAAAAACAACACTCGATGTCAACGCGACTTTTCTTTCCTTGCGCGACGACGGGAAACGAATTTATTTACTCCTTGCTCGCCCGTATACAGGTACACTCGACGTTGAGGAAAGTACATGCTTTTTTTTATTTTCTTCTTTATCCTTTGGAGATCGGAATTGTTTAGCAACGTACATTTGAAAAGGATAAAAGTGACAAACTCATGGCGTAATCGAAACTCCATCGGATGTATGATATGTCATTGCTTCAATAGATACACGTAGGTATACACTTACACGCAATAACCTAGCTCATTTGGTCCTTATACGCAGTCACGTGTATGCCACTAGAATAGGCGACTCTATGCTTCTCATAAATGTGTTCATTTGCGATGTCTGGCTTCCCTTTTATTAATAAATTACCATATCTCTATATTTTAACGGCCTATAGTCCGCAAAATAGTGCTCTAGATGCAAATATCCCTTGGCACGATTGATAGTATACATGCAACTGTGCGTTCGCAGGTCGAGAACTGACTCGGTGAGGTCCAAATCACCGTTGACGGCGTCTCCGGCTTCTCCGGGGCCCCTGTCGTCCTACCACGGCAGCTTTCACAGCAGTTTGGGCAGCGATGGCATGTCCTGCAGCAGCGCCAGGTCCTCCTCGGCCTCACCAGACTCTGCCAAGTACTCTTCCTCACAGGTACGTGCCACCATCTTGACAACGATTTAGTGTGTAATGTTTTCTTCCACTGGTCTCCCTCGTCTCGAGGAGAAACGCCAAAAGTAAATGCAGCCAAGTATCGTGTGTTTCCAACAATTAGCCCTAATTGACAACGATGTCTGCCAACTTTGAGATACACCATAGAGAGTGAAATACGTATAAGAGCGATGCACTTTCTATTACACGAGAAACGCGATAAATATCCGATCTATTGTATAAACTTCGTAATCGATGCTTGAGGTGCTTGAAAAAGTTACAAGGTTGTACATTAGTCATGGTAACGGTGTTCCTTCAAAAAAAAAAAAAAAAAAAAAATCCGCTATCGGAATAAAAAACAAAGATCTTGATTCTGATTAGATTCTGGGCTTCGTAGGCAATGATGATAATCCATCTCTCGTGATCATCTTGTCCGGACGAAAAAAAAAGAAAAAGAACACGCGTCAAATGAGAGCGCAACGAAAAGTCAGACTTAACGAGGCGCCCCATGTATACCGCGAGCAAATGGGTGAGTATATTCCGTTCGAAGGAAGAAAAAAAAAAACAACAAATTCTACTCGGTATGACGGTCGAGTTAAAAAGCGAGACGATTCGTAATGGGCTCGTTACTTCTGTACTGCAGGCCATTTCGCTCGAAACGCGGGATACGAGTTTATTCGCTGCAAAGAGAGAGAGATGATTTGTCTCGCACGAGCGTGGCGCGCTTTTTCCGTGGGGAGGTTTTTTCGCTTTGCCACTGTATGAGCGGGACCCTTTTTTTTTCCTCGTTCTTTGGGAGATTGTGGATGAAAGTAAACTTTTTCGCTGTGATAAACTCTGGAATATCGAGCGGACCCGTAAATCCAGGAGTGTGTGGCTGATGTTACGATTACACGAATGCTTTCCTCGAGTAAAATGTCCCAAGAGTTGTTGGCGTGTTTTTTTATATCTTTGCATCAATATGAGACATACCAGTCTCGATTAGCATTAAATTTTAATTGCGTCTCATTACGATTTTCTTTGAGAAAAAGATGTTTCGCTCATTTGTTATTAATTTGCCGCGAGCGTTGATTTTGCCACACCAATGTATCTTGTAACTATCGACGATTGCACTCTTTCGTTTACCTTATCCTAGAGAATAAAACTTGGAACCGTGCACTCTATCAATGAGCCGTAGGAGAAAAGCATACACATTTACGTATACACCTCAGCGATGTTCAGGTCGTTGTTTACGAGCGGAAGTAAGCACAATGCGATCGTCGATTTTCACCGGGCGCCGATCTGTGTGTTATAAGTACACGCCCTATAAGATAGTATACCCTAGTCGGTTGCTGCCGTGTACCTACGCACCATGTAGATGAAGATTTCACCGGGAGGCGATGATATGGGAAATTTATGGGACCGGTCAGTTTTATTTATCGCTCACGTTTACGTAGGCCTGCTTCATCCTCCTTCCCCTCCTCTTCTTCTTCTCTTTGGCTTTTCGCTTGTACGCGATACCAGCTAGCATCGGCGATTCCAACACTGTTGGGCCATTGTTTTCCAAAATTGTTCGAAATCGCGAATATTTGCAATTATCGGAGCGAGGGAAATCAGTGCCGAGCATTAATTACGTAGGTTAGAATGAAAGTGGAAAAAAAGCGCGAAGGTGGTAAAAGACAACTTTTCCACGTGTGTCGTAGATAACCAAGACTGAACCACGTAACAAGCCATCCGTGCGCAGACCGGGGGCGTCGACGGAGTTTATCCACGCCTGCCTCGACATGCACAATATTTACCGATCCCGCCACGGCGTCCCGCCCCTGCGGCTCAGCAAACAGGTAAAATCGCCCCATTGATCCCAACTGGTCGAATATCCATGTACATTATATACGTATTTGTTGATGGATCCTTGTTTCGTTGGCTCGCAGCTGTGCAAGGCCAGCCAGGAGTGGGCGAACGTGCTGGCGACGAGGGGCAGACTCGAGCACCGGGCGAACATCGAGTACGGCGAGAACCTCTACTGCATGTGGAGCTCGAACCCCAAGACCGTGGTAACCGGCGACGAGCCAGTCAACGAGTGGTGAGTCCCTTGTAACTAGTAAGTATTGGATGGCACAATGAAAACTCGTGACGTGGTACCCTCTCCCGCGGTCAGGTACGCCGAGGAGACGCAGCACGTGTACGGCAAGGAGCCGACGACCCTGAAGACCGGCCACTTTACGCAGGTCGTCTGGCGCGACAGCATCGAGCTGGGCGTTGGCATGGCCCGCAACCGGAACGGCGAGGTCTACGTAGTCGTGAATTACAACCCGGCGGGCAACTTTTTGGGGAGTTTCAGCGAAAACGTGCTGTCGCCCTGCTGCAGCGATCAGACCTCGAGCTCCTCGGCCTCGTCGTCGCCCCAGCCCGGCAAGAACTCACCCGACTCGGCCAAGATCCTTGACGAGCGCGCCTGGCAGGAGGAGGCTCTCAGGATACACAACGAGTACCGCAGGCGGCACCAGGTGCCCGAGCTCAAGCTCAGCGCCGATCTCTGCGACTCGGCCAAGGTGAGTTTCCTTTTTTCTCTTCTTTTCCTGGTATCGGTATCGGTATACGCTCCAGTGGTACCTTTGTGGCTTCGACCGGTTTATGCAGTCTCAATGATGGCTGTCTCAAAGTTGCAGTTTTTAAGGAAACATCGTTTCTTTTGCTCGCAGGAATGGGCTTGCACGCTGATGAACACCAACAAGCTGATACCCCAGTCGTCGTCGCCGTACGGGGAGAACATATATTCGATGCAGTGCTCGGATACGAAATTCGTCGTCTCACCCCGCGAGGTCATCTCGAAGTGGTACTCGGAGAAAAAGGACCACAAGTTCGGGGTCGAGCCCAAGGTTCTCAACACATGTACGTGCTATATCGTTGGTACAAACATCGATTACCCGATGCCAATGCAATTTGGTCATCATTCACGTTTATTTGCTTGTTTTATTTTTTATTTTTTTCATTTATTCTTCGATTGTATGCAATTTCGTTTGGTTATCTTTTGCACGTTTATTTATTATTTTTTTTCACCCCATGTGCTCGCAATAACCCAATTCGTCAAGAAACAGTAGTCAAACTAATAGATAGTCCCCGCAAATCCAGGTCACTTCACGCAGATTGTCTGGCGGAGCACCAAGGAAATGGGAATCGGTATGGCCAAGAGGGACGGTAGCTGCGTCGTGGTGGCCTGTTACTACCCACGGGGCAACATAGTCGGCCGGTTCACGGAGAACGTGCCGAGGCCGGTGAAACCGAGCACCTCGGCGTCCTCGTCGTCCTGACCGACGCGCACGACGACACCGGCAACGCCACTGTCGTCGTCCCGGTCGCCCTCATCCGCCGGTGTTTCCGCTGCTGCTGATAAAGCCAAGGCTGCTCCTTTTGGTAACGCTGCGGCGCCGGTAACTAGTCAACCCTGTCCGTCCGAGCCTCGATAAACTAGGAAAACACGTCCTGCGGATCCAGCGCACTGCATTATCGACGACAAACATTTATTCATATAATTTATTAAAATATACATACTATATGTGTATGATGGATAAAAATCGGATGTTCCCTCCCAACGCATGCAGCACTTCTGCATGCCCTTACACTGTCCTAATATACTATATGCGATTATTACCGAAAAGTATCTTGTGAGCCAGTTTTTTCTTATGTTCTTTAACGGACACTTAAATCCACCAAATTATTCTATCGTTTTCTTTTTGTTTATTCATATTTACCGATGATGAAGATTCATTGACTGTTTCGAATGTATAAGTATACATATACACACACGTACTTGGTAAATTAGGCTTTTGATACTTTTGAAGTGGACGATTTCTTTTGTTATTCTCGTTGGGATAATAATATTTTTTGGCGTATTATGATAGTGATACATAACGAGTAACGCACAAAAGTTGAGTTTATTATTTCCGTTATTATTCTTTCAAATATTTACGTGTGTTGTATACAATCAAGCATATACTACGATTTGTTATATACGACAGTTATCAACTTTATCAAATGCGTAAATCAACTTGAAAACAATTAAAGATCTACTTTCGACTGATGGCAAACTACTGCATTTACGAGAATGAGCCGCAGTGTTTTTTTTTCTTTTCTATACATTATCATTCAATTTAAGGCAGAATAAAGGACAGTCGCGCCAAATCATTGTAATTTCAACCTTTTCACCGAACCCTACTATATACATAGATAGAAAAAAAAGAGAGAAAGAGCTTTTGCGATATTGCAAAATGTTTTTCTTAGATATTTAGTTGTTAACAATAAAAATGCGTATTTTGTAAATACGATGGCAGGAGCGTGGTTGAACACGCGTTGTGTGAAATAAAAAGAAAACGAAGTTAACGTACATTCCGCACGGCGATCCAGTACGCAAGCGTTACGCTGTAAAGTATACGAAAAAAAACAAAAACAAAAAAAAAAAATTTTAATGATGAGTGAGATCACTGAGGTTTAGATTAGTAGTTGATATTTTATTATGATAAAGAGAGCAATAAATTTATGGATATGTGTATCCAATCGGTCCTCGATTTACGTTGACGTAATTATGTATTTAATACTTAAAATAAAATAATTGTTTACATAAATCAAATAACCATTACATGAATTATTCATTTGGCCCTTGAAGCACCATTTATTTTGAGATTAAGGTACCGTAGGAACTTTCGAAAAAAGGTACTTATGGGTAAAAAGTTGCTTGGTTCATAATAATTTATTTATAATAAATTTTATTCAGTATGCATGCGAACAAGGATGTACCGCAGCGCTGCATACTCAATATAGTTTACACAATTCATAATTTCTTTTGTTATATTACATTACATACAACCGCTTACAATTTTTGTTTCTCGTAACATAATTCAATCATTTATCCCGATTTTTTTTGTTTTTTTTTGTTTTTTTTTTCCCGTATCATTCATATTTGGTATGGTCCTAGTTGATGAAATGTTTTGGAATAGGTCTTAAAATCTAAGATTATACAATCAAAGAAAAAAATGTTTTCGTGATATTAGCGCGTTTGCATTGCACGAGAGGTAAGTTATGTTATTATTCATGACTATCGTTTATCGAAATGAAAATAGAAGGCTTTGTCGGCAATGTTTTCACACACTTGTGCAAGAATATTACTTTCCAGATGTGAAATTTTCGTACGAAAAATCGATTAATAAAATTACATATTTTCTATACCAATTGCCACATGAAAATCGATCAAACTAAACATTATTAGCCACAAAAAATAATTGGTCTTACGCTTTTTCGCGTCCCTACTTAATGTACGCAGATTATCTATATATATTATATATTATACTAATATACTCTTCCTCTTTTTTTTTTTTTTTTTTTTTTTTTTTTTCAAAGACTAATGTTACTGCTTTAGATAGAAAAAATGTCCTTCCTATCCTTTAATGCAGTATTTTCATTTAGAGACGTATGTATGCGCAACCTTTGAATTTCGTATAAAAAATAATTATTTTTCATTTTTGTTTCATTATTTTAAAATGTGTACAAAAAAATGTTTAATTATGATCGTTTTTAATACCACGATTATATTATTGATGAAATTTTCCTCCAATTTGTAGTAGTTGCATGTGTCTTTGCATAGTTAATTTGTTAATAGTTTTGCCATTTAATTATTTGATATAATTCATGTGACATTTTTTAAAACACTATGCAACGTCTTGCTTCTAATCCATTTATGATGAAAAAATTTTCTAAATCTTATTGATCAAATGCTTTTAAAATTTATTCTACGTAGAAACTTTTAAAGGTTTTATTAAGAAAATCTGCAGAAAGTGATGTCATTCGGACTTATCGACTTCTCATTAGATATCATCAAAGGGCACATTTTAAAATTTTTTTAGTCAAACAAATTTAATTTTTACAACGACATTGGTAAACTATTAAAAGTACACCGGATAATTTATGCAAATACTTCTAATAAACAGTTTTAACGATCATTAAAATATCTTCTAAAATGTAATAATACATAGTGATACAGTAACTTTTAAGTGGAGTACTTACTATAAGTGAACATAGTTAACAGTGTGGTCATAAGATGAAATACTGTTTTAAAAACTGAATCATTCGACAGTGAAATCATAAATAATTTATATTTTGAACCATGACACATGCCGAAAATTCAGCAAATGATTGTATATTTTTATGATCTTTCAATGATGATGCGTATAGAAAATTTTCATTCCAAAAAAATACCTCACTAGCTTTGTCTATTTACAGACCGTTTATATCTTTTAAACTGTATTTATGAATTCACACTTAACTTGCTATTTATATTTAACGCTGAGCCTATGACGATATTTCAGGCGATAGTTGAAAATTTTTATATACCCTTTTAACTTGACTACTAAATACTTGTAGTGTCTTATTTACTTATTGAGTGCCAAATAATTTTGAATGAAAACTTTTTTATTAGAGAAAACTGCCGTGATTGGTAGTACAATCCCTCACTTGAAAATATATTCATGCATATGATTTTTTATAAAGGAATAATAAATTGCATCTTTTATGTAGTTAATAAATAAATTAAATTCTGCCGAACTTTACGTGAATTAAACCGATAGGTACAAGTACAAAAATTCGACGTTGTAGAATTTAATATTCATAAGTATTTCTAATTAGCTTTTCAGTGTAAATTTTTTTTTTTTTTTTTTAATACTTTGAGATATTTATTAAGAATAAAATAGTCACTCTTACATTGAAAATAAAATAAAAGAGATTGTCAAAATAAATTTGTATTACAGTTTCAACGTATATTTATAAAAGTTGTTTTTTAAATAGATTGATACTTTTGTTATTTGTAATTTTGCTCTATAAAATTTTTTACACTTATTTGATGACACGCAATGAAAATATTTTTTCAAATCACAGAAATTTTCTTTCATTAGATCAAAAATTACTTCGTTGAATTATTCGAGAGACATTTCCATTTCATTTGGTTCAAGTAATTATTTTAATACATAACACAAATGAATTTTCCATGTGTTCCGTTCGGTACTATGTAATAAGTAATTATCACATCAATTATACTTCATTTCTTATTCATACACCGAATTTATACTTACATACATTATAATTACATTCGCTCAAGGTCCCTTTAATATTTATTTCACCCCAAAATAATAAAACGTCTCACTTTATGTTCTTTACGTGATATTAAATAATAATTAGAGGCGATCGAAAATGCCTACAAAACTTGAAAAACAATTCTACACGTGATAATACCTAATATGTACCTCTTACATGAAATAAAGTGTTGTATATACATTGAGAACTTACAACACTTTATACGAATTGCATCTACAAGTGTAACTATGTATATATGTACGATATCGCTTTTACACTACAAGTTTGCGCTTACAACTTAAATTCTAGCACGACGCTCGCGTGATATGAATTTTATGGTCAACTTCTCTTTCATTCGCTTGTTTTGTCATATTTATATATATATATATTTTTTTCCGCTGCTGCTGATAAAGCCAAGGCTGCTCCTTTTGGTAACGCTGCGGCGCCGGTAACTAGTCAACCCTGTCCGTCCGAGCCTCGATAAACTAGGAAAACACGTCCTGCGGATCCAGCGCACTGCATTATCGACGACAAACATTTATTCATATAATTTATTAAAATATACATACTATATGTGTATGATGGATAAAAATCGGATGTTCCCTCCCAACGCATGCAGCACTTCTGCATGCCCTTACACTGTCCTAATATACTATATGCGATTATTACCGAAAAGTATCTTGTGAGCCAGTTTTTTCTTATGTTCTTTAACGGACACTTAAATCCACCAAATTATTCTATCGTTTTCTTTTTGTTTATTCATATTTACCGATGATGAAGATTCATTNTTTTTTTTTTTTTTTTTTTTTTTTTTCTTTGTTTAACGCACTAAATACAACTAATCAAAACCACTAAATTAGTTTATCCAAGTGGCCCAGTGCCAAATTTTTTACTCATGAAAAACTGTGGCGCAAAGAGTCCCGAGTGGATTTTCGTCGTCCTCCTCGAGCCCAGGCGGAAAATCAACACTCCATCACTCTTTGCCTCAACTGTACACGAGTATACGGAAACAAAAGTTGAAAAGGAAAACGAATGAAAACCAAAAAAGATGTTAATAAAGTGGGGGAGGAGGTAAAAGGAACACAAATAACAACAGACCAAAAGAGCCGTGTATCCACCTACGAGTGGATACAGGAGTCCTAAAGCACGTGGGGCACGCCTACAGCCACTTGTTTCGCACTACCTTGGATATACCGCGTCCCCACATAAATTGGTATCATACGATCGTTCCCTGTATGTGCTGTGGGTCCTGGGTCGGTCCGCCCTGCTGGTGGTGCTGTTGCTGCGAGCTGTGCCCCATACCGGACTGGCTGCCAGGATAGGCCGGCGCCGAATCGTAGAGGCCACCCATCGAGCCGCCCAGCCCAGAACCCAGAACCGGCGACGACAGGCCTGGCCCCAACGCCGACATCGACGGTAGCCCAATGTCCCCGAGGATACCAGTGTTGCTTGCACTGCTACCCCCCTGGGAGCCACCCTCCTCCGGTGGCGTAACCTCGAGCCCGATCGAGCCGTTCAGCGCTATCTTGATCGGGTTGTGGTTCATGGGGTGCGACAGCGCCCCCAGTCCGATGTCCTCCAGGCTGCTCTTGCGCCGCGAGTTCACGCTGAGGCCCTGTCTGTAAGTACAACACCTATCGGAGTAATTGGATTACACCCCAACTGGTGGGGGCGGGGGTGGTGCGGTATACCTGAGGGAGTTGCTGCGCCTGAGGAGCAAGTCGTCGACGATGCGCAACGAGTTGGACCTGCCCCGGAAGTTTCCGGTGATGGTCGGGCTGTCGGGGAGCGAGAGCGAGTTGGACTTGGTGGTGCTGAGCGGGGGTGCCCTGGAGATGCTGATGCCCGAGCCCCGCCTGCTGCCGGGGAGACAGCCGCCCGCCGCGGAGATGATGGCCGAGTTGAGCTGGCCGGGCAGTTGGGCCGAGCAGAAGCTGATGTTGCTCTTGCGGCGCGAGTTGTGCCGCTCGAAGGTTTTTTGGGCGGAGAAGGGCGAGGGCCGCACCAGGTAGACGATGTCACCCTCCTCGAGCTTCAGGTCGCACGAAGGGTTGATTATCACGTAGGACAGGCTGTTGCGCTTCTCCGAGACGTCGTCGTAGTCGGCGGTGGGCAAGTTCAGAGACTCCATGCGGGAGCGCACGAGGTTCGCGATCTCGGCGCGTTCGATCTGCTGGGAGTGGTTGTCGCGCGCCTCGTCGCCTAGATTCACCGAGTACTGGAGTGGCGAGCGACCGAGGGCAGAATAAATACATGGGTTTTTCTCTTTATTGCTGGTGGACAATACTTTTGTTGGATGGTATTTGTCATTAACTTTTGTATTTTATCATTGGTATATGAGGAAATCCACAAAAAATATTATCTTGTTTTTATCCCCCGTTTGATACTAAGAGTAAAATGAGCCCGGTTTCAAGGGTGTGCCTCAAAAAAAATTTTTTTAATTTTTTTTATTAAAATGGGGGACGAAAATGGGATAATATTTTTTGTGCATTTCGTCATATACATATATGTACATGCGGTAGAGGAACGTTTGACGAGCGTATTACCTACTGCGTGGTTTGAACAGTGGTTTTTTTACATTCAATTTGAATTAATTTCATTTTTACATCCCTGATTGTCGAATGGAAATGAAGTTCCATTTAAGTAGAAACAGTCAAACTTGGTAAGACGAGCGGTCGAGCGATCTCTACCGCACACCACTACTAGTGTCCGAAAGTAAATAGTGAAGCAATAAATAATCGTGCATGACTCGGTTGATCGTTGTGTGTTTTTTGCATCAATACCTTTATCGTAATATTGCTTATACACCGTTTGTGCACCTACATTGTAATATACAGTACTGGAGTGAGTGAATTTTTTACTCGAACGTATACAACTAACACATAAAGTTCTATGTAATGGTAGGGTGTTGTTTAAAAAGTTACACTATAGAATCAAATTCAGTTGTAAATGGAGTAAGATTTTCTTTTAAAATACTTGGTAAACAGTCATTGAAAAATGTGTGAAAAATTTCTACGGTTCGTATTATCCTCCATACAAAAAAGACTAAACAAATATTGGAGGAACCTGGTCTATGGAATGCGAGTGCCACTCTTATTAAACCAATGAATGTGTGGCTACAACAAACATTTTTTCACACCAAGTTCCCGTGATACTCACGCCAACCGTATCTTATTACATTTCGTTTCACTAGGAAAAATGAGTTTATTTATCACGTGTCTCTGAATATGATTTGGAAAATCATCATTCACAACAAAATTTATAGTTATTTCAAGAGTATGTGGTGCAAAAAATCATTGATTCCATGTTAGTTGAGATACTAAAATTATTCACAACTTTTGACTGTAGCGATATTATTTAAGTCATCGATTCGACAGGTATTTTTCTGTTTCTATGTACCACATTCTCAATCACAGCCGAGGTCTCCCGAACCTTAATATCTTTGTTTAGTCATGAGACACTTGCTTTGTGTACTAACTCATGATTTTTTCCACTCCTCGGCAAAATGAATGCCCTTCGTGTACAGTTACTCATCGATTCTCCCGAGTCACACCCGAGGAGGAGCAAACCTTGGAAGCAGCAGCCTCCACTAGGAGCTTGAATCTGCCACACTGATACCATCAATGGGAAGATAATACAGACACCCGCATGCACAGACACTCAAACTCGAGCTATGCTCCGATGGAGAAAACATGAGTACGTGCCGTGGAAGCGCATCATGCAGGTTGACGTGCGTGCAAGTTACACCTATACACAAACTCGAGCGTGCAAGGAAGGAAAAACCCTAGTTACGCAAACGGAGGGTGGCTGCGAGCCCACCGCTATATATATATATTTTTTTTTTCCTTTCATCCACTGTAGCCACCGTCACTGTCTCTTCCTTTGGTACTTTTTTGGACGGAGGCGTCCGCGTCCTTTTTCTCGTTTAGAGCATACACGGCGAGCGCCAGTGTCGAACGGAGGGACAAAAGAAGCGGACAAAAGGTACAGAAGATGGGTGGGTGGTAGTCAAAATTTGAAGGAGGAGAGACGGATAAACTCGGAGTGCGCGTGGACCTGCTCCGGGAAATGGGAAAAATGTCGGGAAATCGCTTGGGCGAGAGGATTGAGGGCTGATTGTTCTCTTCTGGTATACTGCATAATACTCGCGGTACGGCGCTGATGTTCCCACATTTGCGCCGTCGACAGTTAATCTGGATTTATTGATCATAGTGAATATAAGTACCTGGTGATTTTATTGATTGATTGATTGATTTATTTGAGATTCAATACAGAAATCGTATGATTGCATCGTATCAAACAGATGTATTTTATTTGAACAAAGGGACCGAGGCGTGGCTTTACAACTGATCGTCAAGGTACATTGTTAATCTGGCCTTTAGCGTAGTGCTCGTAAACGAGATATATCCAGTCGGGGTGGTTTGCTGGTCCATACGTGGACGTGATTTACGGTATATTTGTGAATTTTACTGCCCGGTGCTTGCGGTCGTTCATTGCTATTCGATACTCTGTTGGAGGGATTTGTAACAAATATCAACGAAACATGGAATCGCGAAAGTATTGTTTTGATTTTCGAAAATATTGATATTCGTGGGATCACGGGATTTCCGACTTTACGTGCGATCGATTGATTGCTCATCCGAACTTTTTTTATCATTATATTGGTAAGGAGAAAAAGTTTCTATACTTAAATTGGTTCGCACTTAATTTGTGACAGTTGAGACTCTGTGGTATTCCTCGTTATTAAAATTCGATGTGACGGTACAACGCAGTAACATAACGTAGGTCTGGGTATACAGTTTACCGTGATTCAACATGTATAAACGTGAAAATAAAATTAACATCGGTTTAAAAAAAAATCCGGCTCTCAAAGTTTTATGGCATACTGAAAACGTCGATCCCTCCGAAAGTGTATACTTCTGTTTATGCCGCAGTAAAGGTATAAAAGAGAAAAATGTCGGACGAAAGTGCGGGGCTGTGAGAAAAATTTGAGCAAGAAAAAAAAAAGATAAAGCATGTAAATATATATATAAACACATCAATAATAACAACAAGAACAACAACAACAACAACAACAACAACAACAAAAACACCACATGTCACGCATTTTGTACAAGAAGCAGTAAATAATGGTTATAAAAAATTCAAGTACGGAGAAAGAGAGCCGATCGCAGCGATCCACAGAGTAGTAGTAGTTGTGCTGGATGCAGAGGTAAAGAGAGAAAAGATAAAAAAAAATAAATAAATTTCCTTCAGTAATACATCGTAATAATTTGAAAGAGCCAAATAATTAATCGTAAGTAATGTAATAATAATAATAATAATAATAACCATGATAAAAATGTTTAAGACGACAAAGTGTAGTTAATAAAAGACAAAGAAGGAATAATAGTATAATTATGATGCTCGGCGTAGGTACATCAGGAGATGAGGGGGAGGGGGTTCGAGGGACGACGGGGGAGGGTAGAGTATACGGAGGGTTGTGGATCCAGTCGGGGCGTACTCACAGCTGAGGCGCCTTTGTCGCGGTTGGTGCAATTTGCTAAGCAGGACGCGGCAGTCGAGTTGCGTATCTTGTACGACACGCCGACCCCGGTGTCGCTCTCCGCGTCCGAATCACCCTGTCGAGAAGAAAAAACCAAAGCAAGCACAGCTCTGTTTACACTTACTGCCGTTTTGATGCACAGTGATTTCTGTCTGTGGCTCCCTTGTTAATAATATTATTATTATTTTTTTTTTTCGGACTTCCATAGTACGAAGGGATTCTCTTTGAAGTTTCACTTCATTCGTGAATCACACTATGTATTAATATCGATTGTCAAAGTCATGATTTCGGAGGATGGGCCCGTGAGAGATTTTCTTATCTTCATTGTAATACTCAACTTAAAAAATAGGTACTTCTAACACGATGCAGAGACGAGCAAATATGGTTACTTTGTGGATTGTAAAAATAGATAACATTTCTCGCAGCAAGATGCGTGCCTCTAATATATAGATAATCATACATTATAAAGTTGACTGCTCGAAATGAAGAAATTTTTGAAATTTTCCATCGATCCCTCGATACAATTCCATAGAGCAGTCAACTTGGCAAAATATCAATGTTATATATCATCTCTATGTAGAAGAGTAGCAAAAAAAAAAAAAAAAAATAGATTCGAGCTATCATTCATCAACATCATGAAAGGGATACGATAAGTTTAGCTAGCGATTATTCGTGTAATCGTGTCAAGTAACAAGAGTAAGTATTGTATAATAATTTGTAGTGACAGTGTTGAACAGTAATAATACATAACAGTATATAGAGTCTGGCAACAAGTTGTATCAGGACGAGAAAGTAACAGAGACAAAGAAAGAGCACAACCATGCGCTAAACTCATATCACACGACTAGGAAACAACCGCGTGTACATGTATATTTTCTCACCCCCTCTTTCTCTCTATTACTGAAGCTCTTTCCTTTGAAATATATATATCAGAGTCGCAGGAAGGACGAGGGGCTGATATATACACACTACGGTATAAGTTAGACAAAATATATATATGTATAGTACACACCGTAGTTTAACCGGATGCGTACGTGTGTGGATGTACGTGTTGGCGTGGCTATGTGTATAACATTTGGTCCATGTAAATATGCATGATATGCGAAAACACTTACGTGCGAGGTTTCGACAATGGACGTGTCCTGCGTCCTGTAAATACCGATAGGAATTTCGCAGGTAGTCGAGCACAACTTCTGGTACAGTCGACCATAAGTCCTTATCCACATGTCTTCCTTGGTTATCTTCATCTACAACAACCAGAGCAGAGAGACAGCCAACCAGTCAATCAGAGCGCTATTTCAGAACTCCAATCTCCGCGTTCTTCCTCTACGTTTTCTATTTGTTTATTTGTTTTTTCTTTTTCTTTTTTTTTTGCTCACTTTTATATTCGTTTGAAAACTTAGTCTATTATATTTTTACACCCGCCCGCAGCTCTCCGAGCGAACACTTTAATTGATCAGATTATAGAAACTCTTAATTCTCCTTTCAAGGTAATTTCGTTCTTTTTAAAGCCTTGAAATTCTTTTAAATTCAATAAATCAGCTAATGGTATTGGGAATGGAAAAAAAAAATCTGATCGAAAGATCGAGTGGAATATAAGTCGGATATAACCGGACCAATTACCTCGAGCAATAATTAGGTTTGACGCAAGGGAATAAAAAAAAGAAGATAAATTTTTTTTTTGTCAGGTTAAACGGATTAGAGATAGAGCAAAAAAAAAAAAAAAAAATAAAGTTGAGAATAACAGCAGGAAAGAGGAAACATGATTATATAGGTATACGAACTGAAGTGAGGAATCCGGAGCCCGGCGCTTGGTCAACTCCCAGGAGGAGTCTCACGAAAGTTATCACGTAGTCCTTGACGAAGGCTTGGTAGAGCAGCGTGTCTAGCATCGAAGCGCTGAATACACTGCCCGCGGCGAAGGGCAGTCGGAACATGTACGATATGTGCGAGCCTCGTTCCTTTTCTCGCTGGTTGGAGGAGAAGAGACAAAAGCAAAGACATTCGAGATCGTTAGTTTGGATCTTTTTTTTTCTTTCTTTTTTTATCATTGTCTAACTAATTATCCGATACTAGGAATGTGCCTTAGATATGTTTTAATTGAAGGAATTTTAGGTTCACACAAAAACAAGAGAGTTTGTATGTCTTGTATTGTTTTGGTTGCTACAAAAAATCACTCATTTTACAAACCTAAGATGTACAAGCACATGCGTTGGGCCCACCGGTACACACTTTACCAAATTAAAAAAAAAATTAAATATTTTTTTTTTTTCTTTCCAAATAAATAGCATTTAAAAGGGTTATTAGCTACGTATTTGGACTTTTTTTTTCTCAGCATTGTCCAGTATATACATTGTATTTAAAATAAATATAATGGCTTTTGTTGTTTTGTATTATTTGTGTTTGTAAGAAATATATTAGCAAATTTTCATATTCTCTAATGTAATTTTGCCATGCTCTCCTCTAAAATGCTTGGTCTCATCTATGATAACAAAGTGTACACACATGTACAAAAAATTTTGTGCATATCATCTAATTACTAAAAATCATAAAGTTAGCAGGCAAGTCATAAACACTTTCGAGGCATGATGAATCACAAAAATATAATACTGACGATAACTTTAATAGGTACTTTTGTTTGATAAAATTGCAAAAATTGTCAAAATTGTTTTTTGGCAACACCCAAAATCAACAAGATGATTTGAGTTTTTTTTTTGACAATTTCCTACTTTCATTTTCAATCACTAAACAAAAAACATAGTGACACAGATATGGCAAATTATTCGGAAAAGAATTTTTAAAACGTATGCATCAGAAAAAATATTTTTTGTTCAATATATTCATGCCTGAAATGACAAAAGATAATTCATCAAGCAAATCATTTAGTTAATGTCTAAGATACTTCTACAGCTCGGTAGGCAATTACAGATAGCTTTTGTCCCATCTTCACTTAAAATGTTGTCTAATCACATGTAGAGAAAAAATAATATTCCTAAAACTTGTTTCACATGAGCAATATTTGATCGTTAAAGCAGAAAATTAGTTGGAAAAAAAGAATAAAAAAATTAGTAATGAACATTTCCAGTGTTACATCATAAGAACTATTAAGCGTAAAAAAAAAAAAAAAAACTATTTCGCCGAGAAAAATAAAAGCACGTGCGTAATGGTATCGCAGCCTCGACGTTCCCTGCCGTCAAGGCGGCATTTTTCTGCAGACAACGACGTCAAACGATGAAGAGGAAGACAGAAGACGACGGCGAAGACGCGGATGGCAAGGAACGTTTTACGGCTGCGTAAAAGAAGTTATTCGCAAAGTCGATAAGCGCTGGCCAAAGTGCAGGGCCGAAGGAGCACTTTAGATAAAGTGGAATTCGAGCCCTGCCCCCGCGTACCCACGTGCCTGTACGCACACATACACGCGCGAGATAGCTGCTTTTTCGATGACTCGTAAACCCTTTCCCTGTGCTTTTTCATTTTTTTTTTTTTTTTTTCATTCTCCGCCGATGCCTGGGTCTTTTTTTATGGGTACAACCGAGACAAATTTTATAACCAAATATTTTTTTGGGATGGGTGACGCTGCAGGCGTGCCATCAGCTATTTCAATTCGGTTTATCGGTGGTGCGGGAGTTGCGCTTCGAGCTTTTAGGAAACTTCCACGGTTCGTGACTTTTAAGCTTCGGCCGAGATTTTTGCTCTTCGAAACTGAGCCACTTTGTTTTTTTTAGCGAATTGAATCACGGACATTCGTCAGAACAAAAATAGAAACTATTGTCCACTTAATTAAATGTTATATAGTTGGATTAAATAGTTACTATTTCATAATATATTTTTTTCAAAGCTATACTAAAAATGTAAAAATACCATTACAATTTAAAAGCAATTTTTATGAATGAAAAAAAAATATATATATATATATAGAGCGAAATTATCAGCAAAGTGGTGAAAAAATATAGTGCAGTTGTCACAATTTCTATTTTCTATACTAATGAAGAATACTAACCTTCGTTATATGAGAAGGTTATGGAAAATAAGACAAAAATTGAGAGAAAAAAAAGACAATAAAGTTAAAAAAGCGAAGACGGGAGTAGAGCTATATTAAATTGATCCAATCGACACATCATAATCGTGAGACGGATTTTTTTCGAAATGTCGATCAGGCAGTAATGATTATATAGATATATCCATAATTACAATACAATATAATATAATATATATATATGTATAATATATATAAGAAAATATAGATATCAGAGATCAGAGTGAGTGATTGTAAATGTTACCGAGGAGCCCAACGCAGGCTCAGCGGGGTAGCTGTCACCGGGAGTAGTACTGAGGAGTACCTTTTCCATTTTGCTGAGGTGTAAGGCATACTTGTCGTGCGCACGGAACTGCATGAAGCGCATGTTGCTCGACTGGGACAGTTCTGTTATGCTCTTTATGCTGGGAAAGAATCTGTGCAACGACAAGATAAAATTAATTTTTTTTTTTTTTTTTTTTTAATCACACATACACGTCATTTCCATGTGGACAATAATTCGTGCATTTTATGTTGTTTCTGTTGTGTGGCTGAAAAAAAGTGCAAGTTACTTCCCCCAATGTTCAAGCAAAGGTGGAAGAGTTGAGTGCGATGTATGTGTACTCAAAAATCATTGATACAACAAGCGAATGGTGGTTGTATTATAATGATTATTTCACAGTCCAGCTTGACGTTTCTTCACCGCATGCTACAAGGTACGTATACGTGGGAGTATTCGTAAATCGTGCGAGTGATTTAGGTGTACGGCGGTGCGTGTATACGAGGGTGGTGTAAAGGGTATGCTCACTTAAACATGGTCTGTACGGCGACGATGGTGTTGCAGTCCGCGAGGGTGTCCTCCTCGGCCGAGTTGCTCAGTTCTTTGTTGACGACGACGACGTTCTCGGCCAGGGTGATGCCGGCGCGTAACAGGTCGTCGAGGCAATCTATCGAGCCCAGCATCCAGTAGACGAGCGGGAAGTACGAGATGGCATCGAGAAAGGCGATTTCAGGACGCCTCTCCAGCAGTAGGATTATGGGGTTCAACGAGGTTTTCGATCTGTTGGGCGCGGAAGGATGCTTTTAGAGGGGCTCATTTGATTCACCCTTTTGGCGTACGCTCGAACCTTTTTTTCTTTCTTAAAAATAAAAAAATAAAATAAAAGAAAACTCCTCAACTCACCTGAAGTGGGCCCTGAGGGGTATGATGAAATTGTAAATGCCATTGCTCGCGTAGTCCGCAGCCAGTATGATCGTTTTGTTCTGCCAATTGTATTCCTTGGCGTTCCTGTAGCTGCAGTGCTCGCAGACCTGTGTACACCGAAACAAAGGATACTTCACACGTGTGCGCGCCAAAGGCGCAAAGTAGGCCGATGAGAGAGCAGGGGGTGAGGGGGGGGGTGAAACGAAAGATGAAAGGGAGTGGAAATCTCGTTACGGAACTGTAGCCGAAAAACAAAGGCGGCGAAAAAAAAAAGGAGAAAATGGAAGGGGAGTGGTATACTGTATGCACCTATACCTGTGCGAGCTGCAGGCAGCAGAGCGGCTTCTTCTCTTTGAGGAGGTAGCACAGAGTCGGCGAGACACCGATGAACGGCGAGACGGGCGGGCACCCCTTGACAATACTGCAACAACGAATAAAAGCAAGCGCCACTATTATAATTTCCTTTCCTTTTTTTTTTTTTTTTTTTTTTTTTTTTCTTTTGGACCATTTGAGCTTCACCAGCGAGCTTGTTTTTGTTTTGCATTGGCACGATTGAACTTTTCGTCATCGATGGACCACATACTTTCTTATTTTTCAAAAAATTCTAAAAAGTCCGTAGAAAAGCAGCCATTTTTCCCCGAGTATAAGCAACACATGGACACACACGCCTATACGAATATGCGTCGAGCCGAAGGCAAATTAGTTTGCGATTATCTTTATCGGTTTGACGCACTCAAACGGCGCGCTGTTGTGTCCGTGAACGTCAAAGTCGCGCTAGGCACTCGCACTCCGGCAGTGCCCGTATTAGCCGAGAGGCAGTCAAAGGAACGACAATAGCATGCAAAAACAACGCGTGCGACATCAAACGTTCAGCCAGAATGAAGTTCATTGAACACATCAGGAAGCACAGGCGGTTTTACGGTACCGTTGGCTCACGTGAGTTGTCGTTGCGTATACATAAAAACATTGTCTTTGCTTTTCGTGAAAATCCATACACCACCAAGCAATCGAACTCGACGATTCCATTAGCATATTGTGTATTCTCGAGACTCGAAATTTCAATTATCCGGAGCGAGAAGCGTCGAGCGAATGCCTCGGATTAGCATACGTGTAAGGGTATAACACACATCCGTCGAATCTTGTCTGCTCGCAGTGAACTTGGGCGCGCTGTGTATGGGCCTAGCGATGAGCTGGCCCGGACCCTCCTTTGCGTACTTGTACCTCGACACCACCACCACCACCAGCAGCAGCTTGAGCCAGTCGTGGGTCGAGTCGATGATCAACGCCGGGGCTAGCGTTGGCAGTCTAGCCTCGATATTTGTGACCGACGTCTGGGGCCGACGCGCCTCCTTCTATCTGTCGGCCGGCATTGTTTTTGCCTTCTGGATCATGCTCGCGTCTTCCGGACTCGACAGGACCGTAAGGAATTTCCTTTCCTTTATCTGCCCCGTGGCACACCGTTGATCCAAGTACAGCTTCGAGCAACGCGTAAGCTCCACTTGGGGCAACGGTGTGCCCTCGGTCGCTTACACCCCTCCCCCTAGATGGTCGCGTCCGCGGCTGCAGTGGCGGGCTTCGGCGTGGGGCTGTTCTTCGCCACGGCAGTGCTCTACGTGCCCGAGATATCGTCCGCCGAGAGCCGGGGTATTGTCGGGGCGGCGGTGTTCCTCTCGTGCTACCTCGGGCTGTTCGCCTTCAACCTCGCCAGCCACCTCTTCGAGATCAGCTGGATCCTCGGGGCGCAGGTAGCCACGCCGTTGCTCTTCCTCGCTACCATCCGCTTCTGTATGATCGAGTCGCCCATGTACCTCTTCCAACAGGGCACGGTACGTAAGAGAGTTCCCCATGCCCCCGACCCCACCTCTACGTGGTAATCCCCTCTCCCGACTGCAGGTCCTCGAGGCCAAGTTGTCCCTGAAAAGCCTGCGCGACCGCCGCTCCGTGCTGGACGTCGACGAGGAGTACCGGGCGATGGAGGGCTTCTTCAACTCGAGCGTCTCCAAACAGCCGGGGCAGCTGCTCCACGAGTCCCTGTGCCCCAAGAGCCTGCGCACCGTCACCCTGGCGTCGATACCCCTGCTGTGCGTCGGCCAGATGCTCGGCTCTTACGCGATCAACGACTACACGGAGAGCATCTTCGAGACCCTGTACCCGAGGACGGGCAAACTCGCCATGTCCTTCATAAACGTCGTCTCGGTGGTGTGCTGTATACTCATGATCGAGCGATTTGGCCGGAAGCCCCTGCTCGTCTTCGCTACCGTGTCGTCCGGCCTGTGTTGTTTGCTGCTAGCTGTCTACAGTATGGTGGACCGGAGGATCTGCGACGCCGGCACGGTTGAGTATACGAGTCGATTTTTCCTTATTTATACATCAAGTGAACGGGGTAAGTTGTCTTGTGATGCAGCTGGAGCTCAAGCACCGAGTTTACCCGATGGCCGTGCTGTGCTTTTACTACGCGGTGTACGCGCTGGGCGTGATACCGGTGCTGCCGATCGTCACGGGCGAGATATTCCCGTGCCAGACCAAGACCGCGGCCATAGCCGTGTGCATGTCCCTGCTGTACCTCGTGGCTTTTTTCATGCAGAGGTCGTACGAGACGCTCGACGGGTACGTCAGTTCGTGCGAGGCGTTTGCGCTGTTCACGATTTTTGGATCGGTCGGGCTGCCCATTGCCATCGTTTTGCTGCCCGAGACCAGGGGCAAGAGCTTGTTGCGCATACAGAACGATTTGCTCAATATCGTCACGGTGAGTATAGGCGATATTTTTTTTTTTCTTTTTTTTTTTTTTTTTTTTTTTGTAGATTGCGAGAAAACTTTTCAGGAAGCAAGTGATTTTTTTTGTTATTTTTAGGTCTAAACGCTCGGGACCGTGTATAGTACATAATATACTCAAAGCGTCGCAAAATGGCAAAAAGTACGTGCAGTTTCTCTCCGTAGAGGCGTGCAAGTGTTGAAATATACCCACAGGCAGTGCATCAGACAAACAGGCAGGGTTTCACGTTCAAAAGGCACAAGTAAGAAAAAACAATAAATGCGTGATAGACTCACCCTTTGAAGCTGCGCGCAGGGACGTACATGTACGTACGCAGACGACGTGCGGCGAGAGGACGAGAAGTGCACAAAAACGATGCAAATATATATATAAGGAAGACATCAAAAACTCCAAGTAATAATTTTTTCTGTACATTTTTTTTTTTTTTCAACATGGTGGTATGGAATTCAATTATATTTCATTTTCGAGTGCATTTAAATATTTGCTATGAACATATATATAGATGTACAAAATGTGTGACGTGCTCTGACGTTTTGTGTGATTTTGATGCGATTGTTTGCCAATAAATACCCATGAATTTTATTTTAAATGAGATAATGAAATTTAGTGAGATCAAATTTCATTATTTGTGCAGCTTTCATTGATTCTTTAAATTTCAAAAAATTATGTTTGAAACTGTAACGATGAACAGATTAGTATTATTGAATTATCATGATAATCAAAAAGGAACTACTATTTATAAACGTTGAACGTTTAAAATGTATTCAACAGCTACAGTCGTTGTATCGAATTTTAAATATTCTAGTTTAAAATAAAAAGTTCACAGAAAGTGCTTTAATAATAGACGATGGTCATACTTCATTTATTAGTGACAAAAACATGTAAAACACGTAAATCGATTCAAGGATATTCTCGATATTTTATTCAGAAAAAATTGTAACCCTGCAGTGTATCGTATATTCATGACGAGACGTTTTTAAAAGTAAATTTAATAAAATTAAAACACAGAATCGCCAGATCAGGATGTGCATAACAAATGAAGATCAAAATGCAATTTACGACATTAAATGGTTCCTAACTATGTCAAGCTTTTCGTACTAATGTATACACATGTAGTATGTATAATAATGATAAACACAACACAAGTGCGACAAAATGATCAAGTGATGCAGTATAGGTACTCGGTGACAAAATAATAATGTATATATCTGCACGCTACGTGGATGACATTCCGATGTATAAAAATATGTATAACGTTTGTGCTCGCATATGATCATATATACACGAATTATATATAGATAGGTACTACACACAGGCAATAATGTGCTTCGGGGTATAGGTGTACGGGGAGGAGGACGAGAAAAAATCTCCGCGCACGTGATGTATGGATGATGCATTACCCGAATAGTGTGAGAGGCACCTGTAGAGGCTATATACCTATATACGCATATTTGTTATATCCTCCCTCGACATGCAGTTTCGCGCTGGCTCGTAAAATTATAAGAGCCCGGGCGTGAGGTGCCGAGCAAACCGATCCCGTGTTATATTACACCAACTCCGTTCGGAATCCCGACACTCTGAAAAATTTTATCGCCCTCCCAAAGTGGCGCGATATGCCCTCGCCGTCGCACATACGCAAAGTGCGCGCGCGCGTGCTATGCCCCAAGAGAGAGAGAGAGAGAGATACGGTGGAGGTAACAGCGTTTGCGTGCCTACGTACACATACATGTATCACCTACAAGACGATGCTAAGACAACGACGATCTTGTGTGACACTGGCTATGATGATGATGATGATAATGATGATGATGACGATTTACGCTTGGTAAGTCTCCCTCGAACGTCACCCTAAGCCCACCCAAGGCTGAATTTATACATTTACGGATTACGCTTAGCTGTGCACCTTGTGGATTACGGACGGGTGGTGCTCGAGTATGAATGATTCGAGGGTTGTTTGGCCACAACATTTTAGATTCGGTGATAAAATTCACGGGGGGCGGTATACTTTGCTTTGCTTCGCACGCATTGGCACTCTCTCTCTCTTAAAAGACTGCACGCGGGCTATATATTGATTAGATGAAGCGAGGATCCTCGCGTGCGCAAATCACGTTACGGACGAACGAGTCTTTATAATTCCTACCTTTCACGTGCACTTACGCTGGAAATTGGCTTGAAAATTCATTTTCGGACCCCGAAAGGAGCGGCACGGCGTCGAGCAACGCTGGCAGCGTTAAATTTATTTTTCAGCCCTTTTTTGCGCGGCTTTAGCTCGACGGGTCGAATAGCCGGGCACGAAAATTAATTTATTTAAAATCAAGCGATGCTTTCTCTCTCCCTTCCTCCAAAGACGCATTGACGCGCAAAGAGATGCTATACACGCGTGAAATACGATGAGTTTTTCATCCAAGTATTTACCTACTGCGTTTGATGCCCATCGATTGATCGCTCGTTGAAATACGGATGATTGATTTTCGATGAATTGGTACTCTTTGAACGACTATCCAGATGATTATGACAGTAAGTAGCGTTGAAAACAAACAAAAATAGGTAACCCGGTGCAAGAGTCGAGAAAAGTCGATGGATGGACGGATGGGACGTAAACAGCGAAGGAGGAGATTGAAACTTGACGCGAGTTGGGCCAAGCGGTGCGAGCGGGTGGACCAACGGAGCGAGTAATCCGAGCGATACTCGTAAAATGCAGCTTCGTTCCTCCTCGACTGTGCACGTACGTGTGTATACATACAATATATACTTGAGCGCACTTGTAGTCCCGCGTATACATATATGAGAGCGAGCAGAGGGAGAGATATGTACGTCGGAAATATGGGGGGGGGGGTGAAGGGGGTAATGGCAGCAAGTACTCGTCGCTTATCGGCAACGATGGTGGTGCGATGCTTTCCGTAGATACAGGTATACAGTGTGCGGGGACTCACGCTATCTTTTCGCTGGGCGATCGCCAAGGCACGTCGTCCTCCATCTCATCCTCGGACTCGTCACCCTCCCTGTCCAGCGACTCTTGGCACGGCAGTGTTAGCGTCGAGTTCATCATGTCCGGTACTGGCAGGATGCTCGGTCTTCGGGTCGAACCTGTGGATTAATTTTCATACGAGCTCCAGTGAGAATTTTTCTTTATTCCTCCCCTCCCTCCACCCCGTTCTATAAAAGTAAAGAAATGATATACGTATCGATGCCTGGGATGAAAAAAAGGGGTGTTTTATTTCGAGAGGCCGCATTATCGAAACTCTCGATGAAATGTCTTTTTTCAACGACTTCAAGAGTATACATAGCCTCTTGTTTTATTTTTTTTCAAGCTGAAAAAGATAATAAGTATATGGAATGTTAATGCAAGGTGGTGACACTTTGCTCTTCTGAAAAGTGAAAAATTCGCTCGTCTGAAATAACACAGCCGTTTTGTTCTCAGGCATCAAAGTACGAGTAGTGTTTGGTTGTCAATGTTTTTCCAAGAATATCCAAGTCTTGTTGTGACAAAAGTATGTGTGCATCAGTCACGAACAAATTAAACATTGTCTTACCTCCCATCTGCGCGGCAGTCTCGGGACTGAGGAGATTAGGGTTCGGCTCGTGCGACTGTGGGACCCCGAGCTGATTTCCAGTCATCGGTAGCTGGTGCTGCGGCGACGAGCTTCGCTCCTTCAAGCACTGCCTTGAGTCGCTCAGTCCTCCGGGATCGAGATAAGTCGCTGTAGCGCAAAAATTCGACGTTGCGTGAATCTAGGGTGTACCCGGAGCACTACTCAACTCTACGTCTACCCTTTTTAAACTTGTTGCTTTTCCACGTTTCTTCTGTCTCTACGCTAACGTCACTTTTAAGAAGGATAGAGATAGATTTTTGTTTTTTTTTCAACAACGCAACAATAATATTGTAAAAAAATTGCATGATATTCGTAACAAGTGTTACATTTTCCATTTCAAGATGGTGCAACGGCTCGTTACGGTTAGTTGAAAATATATTAATTGCAACAGATATAGTTCTACGAAATTACAAATTTTAAATGTATAAGTTTATGTGGCTCATACGATCGTGAGAATTTTGCGTACAAAATGTTGCTTTGAAATATTTGTGTGATAAAATTGCTGCATGTATTTGCGTGTGTTTACCTCACTGATGATGAACAGTTTGCCACGTAGGTACGCATGTTACTATTGTTATAAAAGGTATACTATAAAGGGTCATTGATACCATTGACAATTTATGATCAGAAAGATTCTTTCATCAAAAGTTTAAACTAACCAGGTCACCGTATGTTTCAAGGGTTATCCGTTTGTACAGAGGAAATGGAAGCACACGTATACCAACATCAATATCAGCTAAGGAGCAGCTTTTAAAAAATAAATAAGGAAGAAAAATTTGACTAAAGCGCCTCACGCGTGTACGAGCTTTTTAAAAAAAGAAATAGAAAGAAAGGCAAGTTTTATCATTATCTCGAGTATATATTACGAAGAAAGAGTTAATAAACCGGAAATGAGTGCGGGTCGTGAGCATAAAGGTGCGAATAAGGCGTGCGTGCGTGTATTTAACGACGAGAAGAGAATTTCGAGTCTTTGCAACGGAGACAAGTACATCGAGGGACCAACTCTCTATGACACACACACATATACAGGCAGTAAGTCACTTTTGAACGTTAATAGTAGCTGTAAAAACAAATGTGTGCGAGCGTGCATGTATGTACAAGAAGTTAGAGAGGCACCCGCGTCTCCGAGAGAACATCGGCATTAAGCGTCCCCCAGCAATTACCAGTGTCGCACATCTCCCACGTACTTTTCCACACACACACACACACACGCAAGTACGGTGTTATTCGTTGTCAGTCATTTTACTACCTTGCATTCCTGTTTCTCTTTTCCTCTAGGGAGGCTTGCTCGTATAAATACACCAAAATCCGCTTCTGCACTCGAGTGCGCGCGCGACTCGTGATTGTAGATATTGCACTCCCACGATTTGATTATGTCACGGGGAAATGGATTTGTCATGTTCGACCATCAGTTGGAAATTTTTTTGGCCATTATTGAGGGTATTTTTTTTATTTTATTTGCCCACGATACTCTCTGTGTGTGTGCGTCGCTTGCAAATTTCATCGTTTGCAAGAGGAAATAGATTTAAATACTAGAGAAATCGTGTGAGTGGAAAACCAATGTTTTTTTTATCGGGAAAACAGTAATTTTATATTATATTCGTAAATTTATGATGTTGTCAAGTAGGTAATTTTCGTTAGATTATCTTTAATTTTTTTTTCATATATTTTGTGTAAAATGAAGGGCATTCAAAAGCATATGTCAACGTCTCGGTCAAAGAAAGAGTTAGCACTTGATTTGACTTAGGCGTTGATACAAATGTACAACCTAATACTTGAAATGAGCGAATAAGGAGCTACAAGCCATGCTGAATAGTTAAACATGCCAGTATTACAAGCTTTTTCGCGTTACTTTTCTTTTAGGAGCTTTTTTTCTGTATATAGTCTAACGTTATCACGATGCGTAAAAAGTAGGTCGCTGGTTCTACAAATTAGTTGTAAAATATTAAATCATCTTTTTCTTGTGTAAACCGGTTTCAGAAAATTAACTACACAGAAATTACATAATTATTACTTTTATAATGTCTTGGAGAAAGGTTTTTGCACAAAAAGTTAATGTACACCTTGATAGCGTTTTAAATTATTTCGTGAAAGCCACCAAAAATTTTCTTTTTGGTCGTAAAATCAGTAGTACAAGTCAAATTTTCGTCAGCCAAAAAATTTTTATACTCAATATTTAACTAAAATTGTTTTTAAAGGCATTAAAATCAGTGTTAATTTATACTCGCGAATGTTTTACGCAGCGTGTACGGAATAAAAATCAAAACCTACGTCCCATGTTGAAATCAGTAGTAACAGTCGGTTTTTTCAGACAAAACTATTTTTTTATGAAACGTTTAATAAAATTTTCTCCTTATACAGCTTTGCATGAAACTAAGACATTTCTTAATTTTGGCTTGACCATGAAAAAAAAAAAAAAAACAGAAACTTATTTTTCACCACGTATTCAGTAGTAATGGTCGATTTTGGTCAGACAAACTGTTCTTTTTACGCTGTATATTAAAATGATTCTTTTTGTAAAAATACACATACTTATTCGTATTTATAAAATATTTATGAAGTACATGTGTGTAGAATAAAATTTTAAGAACCTATTGTCCATTATTAAATCAGTGGTAATCATCGACTTACGTCAGACACAAAATTTGAAAAAATGGTTGAAACTATTTGTCAAATACTAAATGTTATTAAATTCAGAGTTAATATAATGAATAGTTTACATACTTTAACAATTCAAAAGCTAAACTCTCTACTGATCACCAATATCTACTCTACAAGAAATAACAAAAAATTAAATTGCAAAAATTAGAGAATGCAAAAAAGTACTAGGTCTACTGTAAGATCGGAAAGCAAAAAAAAAAAAAAGCGATCGAGAAAGAAAGAACAAGCGATCATGCGACACTCACGGTGAACATCGGATGCGAGCAGTAGATTGTGGTGTTGGAGTGGTGTGGGCGTGCTAGGGGGGACCTGTAAGATAACCTGGGGGGGTGGTGGTCGGGGTGTCGTTTGTATTAATAGTGGTGGTGGTGGTGGTGGTGGTCGTGGCAGTTTGGCCCTTTTGTCGCGGGCAGGAGTACCGGTCGTTAGCTTGTCACCAGCAGCGGCTGACAGAGCCGTCGTCGACTTGTCGTCGTCGTCGGCGGCCCCCGGGCCCAACTTTCGCCGGCAACTGCCGCCACCATCATCATCATCATCATCGTCATTGTCATCGACATCGACACCATTGACATCATCATCATCATCGTCATCCTCGTCCGTAGCCGTAATTATGTTCAAGCTCGGCGCGCTAGCCGTGGCGGTAGTACCATTGGCGCAGCCCGTCGTCAGCGACGTCGCGGTAGTCAAGGTCGTCGTCGTTCCCGGAGTCGTGGTCGTCGCTGCTGCAGCTGCCGCCGCCGCCGCCATCATCGCGGCCATGTCTGGCTTGTCGATCACCACCTGCGTCGAGTCGCTCGCCACGTTGTTCACCGTGTGGTTCGCCACCACGAAGGCCGAGTTCTCCTCCTTCGTTATGCTCATGTAGTAGCACGTATCCGTCTTCTTCATGATGTGTCTGGGTCCTGGTGGTATTTCAGTTTTTTTTTTTTTATTTATTTTTTTTTCCGTTACCTCATCGTCCATTTATTTCACCGTATAAACTACCTGGGTTAAGCAAAATGGTGTCCTCGTAGAACTCTGGCAGCTCGGCGGGTCTGACCGCGACGAGGGCAACCCCGTATTTTCTGTGGCTGTGAAAGGACGCGTAGGTGAAGGATTTGCCCTCGTACTCGCCAAAAAAGCGCGAGTCCCCGAGGATTATGTGGTAGATCTCGTTGCCCGAGCACTTGCCGTACAGCCTGTGCCACTCCTCCTGCGACTGCTGGCCCTCCCTGTGTACTCACCTTTACGTTAATCTACCCAGAAAAAAAAAAAAAAAAAAAAAAATGCAGAGGGAGAGAAACACTCACTGTCCCCGTGAAGTGTGCAGCAGTAGAGTAACGAGAGTCGAGGCGCCGGGGCATGTGCAGTTGTTAGCCAGCAGGGCGTACTTGAACTCGTCCTCGCACACCACGTGTTCGGCGAACTTGACGTGCAACTTGTTCTCTGGTCGAAAGATCTGCACGTACTGTGGCACGCCCGGAGCAAAGTCTTTCACTGCCCAAGATCTGCACCCATTTTTTTTTTTAACCAAAATAAAAGCATGAAAAAAAAAAAAAAAAAAAAATAATGATTGAGATTTGTAATGCAAAGAAAGCAAGCAAGCAGATGTAGGAAAACAATATTTTAAAAATGCATCACGCGCCCGAGCGCGTCCCAACAATCGCAATAAATCCGCCCCGAAGCGGGCAAACGGAAGCTGCGCTCCACCTTGTTACTATGTGATACATAGCACCTTATCTCAGTGGACCACACATTTTCCTCCGCTCCGTTCAGTGACCGTGTACATACAGAAGAGGATTTATCTGGCTATGCAATGGTGAGAAAAGCGATGAGGTGGGCCAACGCGTGGAAAGTGATTGATAAAAATGTTAACTTTGATCGATTTCTTAAAGTTTTTTTTTTCTTCATATCTGATGGACGGATAATTTAATTCGAGCAAAGTCAATCAGCTAAACCATCTAACTAATCTACATGACTCGGAATGCTCGCCTGAGTACTGCATGTTCGTCGGCTGCCGATTTGTCCGCGTAGTTCCGGGCGGCGAGTACAAAGCACGCCTCGGCCTCGTTCATCCGCGCGCGCGCCAAGTCTCCGTCTTTGAGGCACGAGCCCTGGATGTAGATGACCCTCTGCGCCCAGATGGGCACCTGCAGTATCATCCTCATCGTCGTGTCGAGCTCCATCGGCGACAGCAGCACCACGTAGTAGTCCTGGTAGTTTGTGTTTTCATCCATTAAAGTTTCAAGAGGAAGGAAAAACGCGCAAGGTGTGATTATGTGGGACACACACTCACCTGGAGTAGTGGATGCGCGTAGAATTCGTTGAGAAAATCCATGATCGTGTCCGCCTGGAGGGTCGTACTGCAGACAACGACGTGTTTCTCGCTCTGCGCCCGGTGCGACGAGTAGCTGCCGCCGAGCTTTTGCCTTTCCATCCACGTGAACGCGAGCTGCTCAAACTATGGGAGGGGGGGAAAAAAAATTTACGCGAGTTGCTTGAATTTTCAAAACTCGTCCCAACTTGTGTTTTGGTCCCCCCTCCTTTTTTTTCCCCGATGGACAGGCAGAGTACAGTGAAAAGGGAGGCAAAGGGTTCGGCAGTTTTTCATACGGACATCGACCGAGAGATGGGAGATAATTTTCCAATCGGGAGTGATAATGAAAACATTGATTTTCAGCTCGAAGCCGCATTCGGGAATGAAACGCGCTTCGATCGCAGTCGCGCTCCTCTTTTGTGCGACAAAAAAGAAAAAAGAAAAAAAAAAAAAAAACTCAATTCTCCGCTCCTGTGAGCAAATTCAATAGCCCCGAATCAACGAAATTCAAATCAATACCACGCGTTCCCCAATGTCTGGAAACTGATGCGTTTTTCGACGTACAATATTACCCGCGTTACGCCACATTCAACCCAATGATTTTTACTCTTTGTCCCACGCAAAATTCAATTAACGTCCCGCGAGGTCCCCCGTGCCATAAATAAAGCGCACACGCGTATCTGCCATCGCGCGGACGAAGAGCACAGCTTCCTCGATAAGCTTAAAATCACAGTTCTCGCACTCGCTCCGGTCAGTATTCATTAAAACGATCAATCCCCGTGCCCTCCCTCCCGAGGAACCCAAAACATTCGCGTTGACAATCGGAGCATGTCATTCCTCGTGCCAATTCGGAGGGAGGAGGACCCGTCAGCCATTCGTCAAGCTAACGCGCGGGCGGCAACAAGTGAGCTGCATTATCTCGCGCGCCGTGACGATTTTCTGTACGTGCAGTGGTACGATACGGGACGGTGGAGCGGTGGGTTTGACGCATCGAGCGCTGGATCCGATTAATTATGTCGGAGATTGAATTTGGCGTGTGAAGGTTGATCGTACGAGTCCTGCTGCAGGAGGTATATATTGCAAATGCCTGTTCCGTTGGCTGACTTTTCGATGTTTGGGCGCTGGTTGAGGAAAATGGCACTTTTATGTGAGCCAATTTTTGGGTCGTATCTCATCGGTAACTCATCGATCGATGGCGTGTCACTTTGATTGGTTTTTGTTTTTAAAGACAATAGGTGGTTCCTTGGTGAATAAGGGAGTTTATAGATTCCAAGCTTTTTTTTTTTTTACAATAAACAAGTTTTTTTTTTGCTTTTTTTCAAGGATTCAAAGTACATCTGTCGTTACGGAACAGAGCAAGAAAAGAAGCGATGAAATTGAGTCGGTGTGCTGGACAAACAGCGCGAAAAAAAGGGCTCGTCGTCGTTTTCCGAAGCTAGACAATTTTTCAAAAATGGGAATCCGAATACCCGGCGCCTCGACTCGATGAAGTAAAAGGCGGCCCTTTCTACGGATTCTGCGGGGCTTAGGTAAGAGCATAAAAAATCCATAAAACGTAGATAAAGAGTCGGAAAAAGGACGTCTTAGAGGACGAAGAAGAAGAGTCCGGAAGGGGGGGGGGAACCTCATTCTGGCGAACAATTAGTGCTGGCCGCGCAAGCGTGAATTAATGACCTCGTAAAAGGTGCTCGGGTGATAATTGAAGTTGACGGTCTGCGGATGAACTTTGTTATCTACAGCTCGGTTTATACGCGGGCCTTCGATTGTTATCGCCGCCTTTACGGGAATAATGGCCCCATCGATGCTGACTACGTTTTTTGAACTCAAATTTTTTTTCTTCTTTTATTATTAGTTTTATCAACGAACGACTTTAAGGAACAATCATCACGTAGCACGCCCTGGAAACGAAGGACTCGTTGACAAAATTATTATTTAATACTCGATGGATGTTTTATTCAACCGATGCAAATGACTCGATGACGTGTATTAATTACAGGATTGCCTACGCATCACAGTGCCAATTAACAAAGCTCATTAAAATCATTGCTTAATAAACTCTCGAATTACTTGCGGGCAGTGTTCGTTATGCTAAACGCATAATCAATATTCATTCGAAGCGAAGCCACTCGGATGATTGAATTATTTCCCGTTAATTAATATCAAACGAAAACATTATGAGTACGCGGAGTCTCTGAATTAAACTTTGGGTCATTTGCACGTAAAAGCTTACTGTTGCTCGAGCGGGTGGAACAAACCGTGTTGCTAATTTTTTTTTCCACACTGCTTTACAGTTTCATTTGTAACATTAATAATTATATAACGATTACTCTATTCCTAGATTATGGCCCATCAAATGCACAGCTCATTGTACAACAAACAAAAAACAATCACGACGCATGTTTAGGATATGATAAAATGAATGCAACGAACAGATGACTCACCTGTGTCGGCAGGACGATGAGGGCGACGCAGATCATGATGACCATGTAGAGTTGGGAGGGCCAGATGTCGGGCACAAAGTCACCGTAGCCGACGGTGGAGAAAGTCACGACGACGTAGTACGTGCTCTGGAAGAGATTGAGGTGACGGTGGCCCGCTCGCTGAAAGTGCTGGATGCCGCAGACGCTGCAAACAGCCACGAGTAAACACGTGGGGGTTGATTTTCATTCCGTTTGCATCTATATCCCGGGGAGACTGAATCTCGGCGTGATGCGCGTTTTTATGTTTTTAATCAGATATCACTCGCAAGCCCACCACGTCTGTAATAACGTGTCACTTTGCGCTTCTTCATTTGTTATTTTCTTATTCCCTTGTTTTTACGACTGGCGAAGATGAGGGATGTACGTGTGAATTTACTTACTGTACGTGTCTCCGTATTATTTAGTGAAAAATTTGCAAAGTATTATAGCAGATCCAAAACATCCAAGATTAGCGTGCACTTAAATTGAAAAAAACTATCGTTAAATTCTCGATAAACCCTACCGTTGATTACCCAAGAATCGTCAATATTTGCACCCTAAATCCACGTATTTTTTTTTTTTTTTTTTTGATAAACTTTTGACCATCTCACAAAATCGCGTAGCCAAATATGTTCCCTTCATCATCTCTACCAAAGACTTCTCAGAGTGTACGTATAAAACTTCGTGAAGCGCAATTCTCTATCGTCAAAAATAACTTTACCGCGAAAATGCCTCATCAAGAGCCCAAGTTGCAAAAATTCGCTCTCAGCAAGGACGCAGCGCCCGCATCCTACCCCCCCCCCCCCCAAAGACATACCAAAGACCACCGCGCTGCCTGGCCGGCGCACGCCGAAGGGAGCATTTACAAAAGTTGCGCTTTAATTATGCATGCGGCCCCGTTTTCCAGCTCGGACGGTGTGTTTGTGTACCGCCTCCGGATAGTCGTTCTTCCCCGAGTTCATAGTTACACTTCTTTGCGTATACACTTGGCGCTACATTAACGTTCCCCTTGGGCCGTAGCCCGCCGCTATGTATATATTATATTCTCTCGCAAAAGCGAATCATCCGTTTCGGCTTGTTGGGCGGTGCAAAAAAGTTTTGACGAAACGAATCTTTGGTTCGTTCGAGGGTGGTGGAAGAAAAAAAAAAAAAAAACCTCGATCGAGTACGCGACGATAAGTCCCTGAGTATCGGGAAAAAAAGAGCTGAGGAGCGATTGAATATTCATCGGAAGAAAAAGAACGGCCGAGCGTTGTAACGAGGAGGCGCGCATTAATTAGAGCCGCGAGCGCTAAACGCTCGGATTTGTATATACATATATGGGGGTAGGTATACACGCGTAACGTTACAGCAGTCCAGGTAGGTCCCGTTTGTCGACTCCGAACGCGATGGTGATGCCAGGGATGCTCGCCAAAACGCCTGTGAATCACTCACATGAGAGTTGTGTTGCTCCCGTCAGGGGTGCGCGTGAATTTCCGCATTTAGTTGCCGATCGCAAGATGGGACTGCGTGTATTTCCATTCGGACGTCGGCAGGGCGATGTTTTCGTCCCTATAACGAGGTGATTCAGGATTTTATTTTTTTTTCTCACGGCACACAGAGCACAGACAATGAAAACCGCTTGAATACACGTGCCCGCGTACACTCATATTTATATTTGTGTCACAGCGCGTACACATTCACCATAATCTTTTGTTTCATCGCTGAGCTCTCGAAGCACAATGACGCAAAGTCCTTTGTGTGCACCCCCACCATTGTCCTTCCCGAGGGGGGGCTGTATACGCGAAAATCGCACTTTTGCGGCTTATTACTTTTAATCAGCCGACCGGAAGAGTGCCGAGCATCCCAGCAGAAAAACGGGATCGGATAACGATTTTCGATGAATTTTCATAATTTTTTTTTTTTTTTTTTTTAACGCGATCGATCCTCAAACGAACGTATATTGAAAATAATGCGATCGATACTCAATCCCTGCGTACACCTCTCGCGTCGGCTCTGTTTTACGGTACAGCTCCATCAAGACGTCCCAGGCGTACAACAGTGCACCGGGAGAGATGCACCCACCGGCTCGTTTTATCAATATTCATGAGCTCGATGATTTATTCAAACGCCCCTCGGACTCGGGAGGAAAAACCGATCATAAATTAATCTGGCGCGAAGATTATTACCATTATACCCCTGTCCCTAGCGACGAAAGACGGAACGGAGACGCGGAAATCTCCGATCCCTTTGTACGCTCAAAGGAAATCGATTACTTTTTTCCCCCACGAGTCGCGCTTGATTGATCGGCTGAGGGTATGAGTATTCGTGTTGTTTCACGCAAGTACACAAACACATAGAGATATGCATCGATCGAGGAACGGGTGAAAAGATGAGACGTCGCAAACACTTCCCGAACGCGCGTTACTGCATAGGGTACTTGGCAATTTATTCATTTTATTTTTCATTGACTCGAATAGCAAAAAAAAAAACAACTTTGCAGGTAGACCAACTTGCTTCCCAGAGTCAACAAGCGGCTAATGAAACTTGTTATTGGATCAGAGGAGAGAGAGAGATAGTAACACTTAATTTGCGGTCACTTATTTACCCCACTTCCGATCAATTTCGTGAGCCGTCCCAAACTCGGAGCTGCGGCAACTCACTCGAGCAATGATAACCGCGGCATCGAAATTTCATCAAACAACTAATTAAGGGTACACGTGTACATCGAGAGCCCAACCACGAAACCCCAGCCACTGGGACCCCCTAATCAGATAGAAAGAGAGAGAGAGAGAGAGAAGTTTCGAGCCAACAACAAGTCGTAACACAATAGCCGCCGCTACTGCTGTGCCCCTCTTCGATTATACACCCAAACAGCGACGCTAGAGATACGCGTGGACATAAGACAGAGTCGTGTGTCCCCCTTCGCGCCCACACATGTGACCCATTAAACTTTCTAACTCCCTCGATCTCTCGCATCACCCAATATCCTCTATTCTAAGAAGTCAAGGACTCGCTTATTATACGCCGAGTCGCCGTGATGGCGTGTGCGCGTAGCGATACATATACCAACTATATACGTATATACTCACGAAGCCGTGTGTGCCGCGACGGTAAATAATAAATCGCGACGATCGATGAACGTGTACGAGGGTGTCTGTTGTTTTTCTATATACCTGTACGTACAGTATGTGGCTACAGGAAAAAAAAAGTAGTCCGATCCGAGTCCCTTGCCCCCCCCCCCCCCCGCCGGGGTCGACTCATCCGTCCGCCCCTTTGGACTATTCGACGCTTGTGCATAAATAAGGTACGCGCGCGTGTACTCATTTTTTCCTTTTTTCTTTTTTTTTGCTTCCCAACTGCCCGCACGCGAATTTACTTTAGGGGCAATTAAAAACATAGCTTCTCCGTCGTAACGATATACGTATTGCGTAACCGTGGACTGGTTTTTTTTTTTCCAACAGCACGCGTGGCTAGTCGAACCAAAGCCCCGACGCTCTTTTCCATACACGACAAAAGGGATGCTATACGATACGAGCAGAGAGCCCGTACCAATAGCCGCTAATGAATATGTTCGAGAGTTCGCAACGCGATTTCCTCGTAGCGAGCAACAACGAAGCAACAAGAGGGAGAGTAGGTATACCCCCCCAAGGCTAAGTGTTCCGTCGTCGGTCCCGGGATCGGGTGTCCAGCCTCAAAGTTGGCCTTGCGTACGAAAGGGAGTTACTCGCGCACAGGCCAAAGGAAGCATCAAGTTTCCGGTGGACGAGCTCTCGGAGCAACGGCAGTTTGCTCGCAATCGGCGAAACACCCCCCAAGAAACTTTGGGGTACCTACCTCGCTGTATACACGGGCTACAACTAATTATTACTCGACGAATGTTGACCATTTTTAGCGTCTTAAAATCCGGGGGTACAGGGGTGAGTTTTCACTTTATACCACGGGAACATCAGTACCGTAATAACTGCCGCTTATTTTGGGTCGCACAAGATTTCGAAATGGCTCGTGCGTTGGGATAACAAGTTTCTCGCGATACGCGCGCCCGTGATACGGAAGTTTAGCCAAACGAGCTCTCGAGCCTTTGAAAGCCTGCCAAAGCTAATAGCTCCGTCGACGAGGGTTTGAGGCTTCGCTTGTACCTGTTCGTCAGACATCTGGGGCTTTTCTTCCTCGGGGTTTGCCTCTGAGGCCGATGACGCCAAATATTAATAAAAACTATCGCCAAGAGCTGTTTAAACAACCCTACTTTAGAAGAAAAAAAAAAAAAAAAAAAAAAACCAACATCCAAAGTTTGAGAGCCCATGGGGAGATGTGCACACTCGGTCCGGCAATTCCGTGCGCAAACTTCGGGGTTGGTCTGTGTGCGCTCGACGATCGGTCCGTCGTCTCTGTAGTCGCCCGGCGATAGTTGCGTTAAAATATTCGCGAGCTTTACCCCCTCCGGGTGGCTCCCTCGCGAACTACGAGCGGAAATGCCTCTGTGCGTTCGGGAGCAAGCTTTTGCCTCCTCCTTCTTCTTCTCGGAGGAAAGCTTCGCTCGAGAGGCTTGCTGCACATGATTGGACGAACGAAAATTGGATTACGTGGATTTCGGGGGTGAAGGACGTTTCGACTGGTGCTCCCTTTGACGTCGCTTGCGAGGGGATGGGGGTAAAAAACACGCTATGAGCTTAATAGGTCGCTTTTGAAACATTTCCCACACTTTATTTGAAATGCCCTGAAAAAAAGAAGTCAACCGTATTTTGTACTTGGGATTTTTTATTTTTTTTTTATTTAGTAAGAACACGCAAAAGCTTCGATGTATGGGAGGGGTGAAAAAGATTTTCGGAATAATAATCAGTAGCAGGAGAAGAGCGAAGCGCGAGCTGAAAGGGCTTGACCGCAAAAACAATTCGATTTGCCCTCGACGTGGATGCTCGGAGCTTTTCGAGGATCGCTCGCAAGAAAGAGACGTCGTTTGTCAAGATCGAGAGCGTAGGACGTGGGCGCGGCTGGGAATCGATGCGACGTGTAACATCAACTCTCGTCCATGTACGTGTGCACGTATACCCGTGGTACAGAGACATAAAAGTGCGAGTGAAGAAAACCTCATCACCGCGACGGTGGATAGGAAAAAAAAGGGAGAGGTGGCATTATCTGCTCGGAGCACTTTTTTGTCCCTAAAATTTTTGCCACCGACGTTCCTTCATACTTTTCCCTCGGTTCATCTGCCAAATAATACCCGCTGCTCCTTCTCTCAAAAAGCGAGTCGAGGTTTTTTTCATCCAACTTATTGCTCGTGCATCCACGATGAATACCCGTATGAATGTGATTGTAGCTCTGGTTCCAAGCTGAACATTTATACGTAACAAAAAAATAGTACATTGAATCGGGTCGATGAAAACTATTGGCCCCACTCTCCGTTTATGCATCAGAAATGAAAAACTCCATCCTTTTCCGGGCAAGTAAAAATCCATTCCCAAATTAATATGCATGTACAGCCGGCTACATGTATTCCTGCCTCGTGATTAATATCCGTGAAATCGTTTGTACGTGGTCGGTGCGCTTTAGATAAGAAAGTATACCAATAAATGATCAATTTATAAGCACGCAAGTGCCCTCGCGTAACAAGCTCTGTAAATAATTTCACAGCTGACCGTAATAACGAGGAGGGCAAGAATACAGCAAAGGCCAAATCAAGACTTGGCATACAAACACTTTACCACCAAAACTTTGAATGGTGCAATAATCCAATAACCGATTTTAGTCCCAAATGTAACTATACTTTCTGTAACGTGGATGAGATATTGCGCTCGCCCTGAAAACTAGGACTGCGTTGGTGAGCTTGATTTGAGCGAGTAACCGGGAAACAGCGGAAAAAAGTACACGTAGAGCGCTAATGACAGTTACCAGCTAGATTTTCGTTGCAAATCGAGAGTGACCAACTTGGCGGATTGTTCAAAGGGCCCTCAAAAAGCTTGGGGGCCGTTTGTTTCACGGGCGCGCAATCAAACGCATTAACCCAAGTGGGTCGGTAATGAGGCATCGATTCGTCATTTGCAACAACAAAGTGGCGTGAACGTGCATGTGTGCGTGTGTTATTCGCCGGTGACTTTGAACGACCCGCTGATTCCGCAAATTCCAGGGTCCCTCTCACTCGTTAGTTACATTAGCTTCGTTAGCTCCTGCACGTCAACTGCGGCGCTCGTACGTACCTACATAGTACATACGGGAGGAATTTTGACATCAGTTAGCCGTCGAGCTCTTTCGGGATTATTGTAATAGAGTTTGCCGAGCTGGAGTTGCGGTCGGGGCTTATACAACAGGAGAGAGGCTTTTCATGCCTCCCCCCCCCCCACCGTTGTATATTCGGGATCTTATCCGTCTTTCTCCCTCAAGGCGCCCGATTTTACAGCTTCGGCGCATCAGACGCACCCAGCGCAAGCTGTCCTTCAGCTTGGATTTAATACGACAGTTGGTAGAGGCCCCGAGTGACGGGGTTCGGTTGTGTGTCTATTGTCGAACTCGAAAATAGACCGGCGTATAGGTGGCAGGGGTTGATATTGGGAGAAGCTTCGAGTGATAAACCCGACGCCATGGTATCTATAAATACCCGTTTTCGGGATCCTCCGAACTATCGATCCACATGCAGGTTCATCGTACATTGTAGAAGTCGTAAAGTGTTCTTTGGGGAACAAAGATGACTAAAGAAAGAAAAAAAGAAAAAAATCACCAACTCACCTTGTGAAGACGAGACAGAGGAGGGTGGCGCTGAGGATCATCAGCTGCTGGCTCAGAGCCGACTGGGACTTTTGCATGGCTCGGTGCAGGTCGTTCTGAAAGAGATAAAACACGACACGGAGCATTAAACGCAAAAATAGAGAGGAATAGCTGCTGTTGCAGTTATTCCATGGGGGGGGGGGGGCGATCGTTCGTCATGCGGGAGAGTGTTGGGATGAAAGGTGGTTTGTCGGCGCGAGAGGGAGATAGTGCACGGAGCTGTATACATGTAGGCAGGGGAGGACATCGTGAGGCTCCGTGTACACACACACACACACACATACATGGTGAGAGGTACGTGACGGTACTTACGAACATGTTCTCCAGGGAGTGCTTCGCCAGCCAGCAGTTGAGGAAAACCGGTATGAAAAGGTTTCTCGAGGGTGGGTACAGAAGCTGAAAAATGACGGGCGCTTTAGTATACACACCCTCCGCTTTCTCCTCCTTTTCTTCTTTGCCTTCTTATTTTTTCCCCTTCTCGAGCGCGAAAAGGAAAGCTCGTCGTGCAATCCGAGAAATTCGCGTCTCCCGTGAAAAGGGCCGGATAATCTTTGAAAACACACACGCGCCGATAACAGTAAACAGGGTATGGACAATACCACCGGGCGTTTTTCAAGCGCATACCGACAAGCGATGCTTCTTTAACGAGTGCAGCTATCTCGAGTACACCGATTGCGATTGAATAATAAATTGGGGCGCGGAGCTGAAATTAGATCACGATACGATATCGGGTTTGGCGGTACCTTATACCGTAGTTCGGAAGTCGATTGATGCAACAACGTGAAAAAAAAAAAAAAAAAACACCGAATCAAACACTCGTATGTATACTCTTTCTCGCCGGTATTGGCGGGTGATTCGGGCATCCACCAAACACGACAAACTACACGGAAAACACCCCCGTGTACGCGATTAGTCAGCGACCGGCTGTTAATGCGCGGCTCACGCGGCAAACGAGGTGTGCCTAATGCTTGCACTGCACACGCATCCATCGCCAAGCCAAACATCCGTGCGTGTAATCGTCGATCGGGGATGCTCCGGGCTCTCTCAAAGGGCAAGTAATGCGTTCGTTCGCACTGCACGGCTGGTCGCGCTCGGGTGTACGGTTCGATATCTCGCGGTCGATAAACACAGGGGGGGGGGGGCGTTGATGAGGGATGAAAAAAATTATTGGTGGTCGATTCATGTACGTGGTGTCATTGGTGCTAGTTGCATTGAGGAAAGAATTCAGTACTTTAAATTGAAACGTGAGACGCGTGTCCTTGATACCGACGACGCGGTAATTTATAAGCGGGGATCATTTTCTCGAGCCACTTCGACCCAGCCATGCACGACTTTCACGAGCCATTAGACGGCACATTTATAATTCACCACTTGTTTTTTTTTTTTTTTTTTTATTTCCCTGTTCTTTCTTTTCATCAAAGTTTCTCGTGTGAACTTAATCCTGACGAAGATTGATTGCTCCAGTCTCTCGAGCCATCAATTTCCTTTCATCGTGGACGTGCGTGTATATATTTTTTGTTATTAATATCCATGAAATTACACAAAAGACAAATGATTTCCGAAAGGCACCGTTTGACCCCGTTTGGCCCACCGTGGCGTTACGTACTCACGCCCGAGGAGTGTTTACTTGTGATGAGCGTTCGAATGAAAATTCCAATAACGAATCGAGCTGCATTAGCGAAAAAAAAAAAAAAAAAATGACAGTAGCCGATATGGGTAGGAGTTTGCGCTTCGACGGGTGGCATGATTTGCGCACAGTCTTTTTCATACGCATGGAATAACTTTTTGACATCAACACAGGCCCGGAATCACTTTGGCCACCCTGAAATTTCGTCCCACGTGTAGAGGTATTAAAAAGTTATTAAAAAAAAAAACCGATACTTTTGCACCCTAGTCGTTTCACGTGTACTACCTATTATATACTACTGAATATGTTTGTTGGACGAGATAGTAATTCGATTGCTCGTTACTATGACGCTTTTTTCTTTGTTAAAAAAAAAAAAAAAAAAAAAAATGGAAGTAGTTTGTTCATTACTCGTCGAATAAATTGGCCATTTTTCCCCACAAGGGTGGATTAATCGAGCTAGCTGGTAAGCGTTCCGTTGACCGGTGCCTGCAGATATCGCTCCAGGATTCTCGTAAGCCGGCCACCGCATCTGTAAAAGCTCTCTCGGACTCGCACTGTATGCCACGCTTGACGCTCGTTTTGAAACAGAAACAAAAATCCCCCACCCACGATGAATTTCAATTTCCACAGCTAACGAGCTCCGGAAACCAGGGTCAAGAAAACCCCAGTAGCGAGAGAGAGAGAGCTCCAATTCACCCCAAGGGGTGGGGGGGTGGAACGAGATTTCGTTCGGCAATTTCGATCGTCGGGTCCGCGCGATCACCGACCGCGAGCCGTCATATGCGCAAACCGCATTTCTGTCACTCCATCTATCCGCGCCGGGGCCGGAACAAAGTCGGCAATGAAGCGGTATAAAGCCTCGCGGGGCTACTGCCACCACTGCTGCGAAATGCAACGAGGCGATGTCCACAGGCTCTCGATCTAATCGATGTGTGTTTGTCCCTGGGTCTACATTCGACTTGTATAGCGATTGTGTCCCCGTTGACGCATGTTTGGCTACCCCCCCCCCCTCCGGCCCCACCGATAGCCTTTTCCGGTTGCCGGTCGTGCACAATAGACGCTTGCGTACAAATACAGTTACACTGCAAACGTACCTGTGCAGATGATGATAATAATATTAACAGTTTATGACGAAGCAAACTTACCGTGAAGGTGAATGGTATCGTGTTGGCCAACTCGAGGATGAAGTGAAAGGACAGGAGTTGCTGCCAGATGTTGCCCTGCGGACATTAAATAGACAGGTCAACATATCCAGCGACGCGGGCCACATCGTGCATAACAATTTTCGGGTCGTAAACGTGCAGCGTCCCAACCACTACGTCATAAAGCTACTCGCTACAAAAGCTCGTTCTCACGACTAAATGTACAGGTGTACGAATAACCAATGAGTGCCAGAGATTTACGGGTCTTTTTCTCCTTTTTTTATTTTTTATTGTCAATCCATGGAAATCTACCAATTGTTCCATTGGGTTTTATCGCGATTTATACATGTTACACAAGAAAAATGGTTTCTCGTACATCGGTGTTTGTACTACGATCTTGTCACTACCCTGTGACATTAACCTTGGGCAAATGAATCCAACGATTAATTGGCAGCAATCAATCAGGCATCACCCAGTACAGCAGAGCACGAGAAGCCAGTTAACTGAACATTGTTCGTGAGTAAACGTATACTCCTACGAGGCACCGAAGCCGTACTGCACACGTATAGCGTTGTACGGCACGCAACACGGGGAGAAAGTCGCTCCTCGAGCCAAGTTTCGGCGCGCATAATTCCACGATGCCGAGAGGAGCGCGCGGAATTCCATTAACTCGGCCAACTTCATAATATTTTCTCGCTCGCCTCCTCCCTTTTCCACCCTTTTTTTATTTTTTTTAAACAGCGCTCGCCTATGCGCTCGGGACTAATTACCGCACTCGTGCTAATTAAAAAAGATGAACTGACGCGCCTCCGTGTTTCTTATCGCTCGGTGAGAGCACGCGTGTGTAATTCAGGGAGGCAAGGGCAAAGTGAGAGGGCTGCGTGAGCATCGACTCTTACGGAGTGTATTAAACTCCCCTTTGGGTAAAGCATACGTGTATGCGAGGGATGATTTATGGGGGGCCGTTGAAATGGGAAATGTTATTAACGATTCCTGTTATTCCTTAATAAATCGGCTGGTGGGCGGATTAGCCCGTTGAAATGAAGATCCGGCTTACCATCGGACGACTTGCGAATGATCCTCCGAGACGACGCGGGGACTTTGGTTTTATTGGACTCTTGGACTCCTCGGGATACGTGCGAGGCACGTACGAAGCATTTTGCTGTGCTTACGGGAGTTGTGTGAGGGGAGTGCGAGGCATCGGGAGACGTATAAGACTGCAAGAACAACAATGACAGTACCACTGAGCCAGTGACAGGCGACGAGCCTGGAAAGGCCGTAAACGCCGGTCCACCCTCTTTTAGGCAAGTGAACGCAGCCTCTCTTTCCACGGGATCCATGAACGTGTGTGCTCTTGCTTCGTGGGGCGTGTGTTTGGATACTGACGTCGAGGGAGAAGAGTATCCGGTGGGAGGGAGCGCTTCGATGTAAAATGGCCCTTGGGAAATTCAATTTTATTGCTTCGCGCTTGGACCCTCGGAGATACGCGTGTCACGCCGTGCGCGTGGCTTACTGTGAAATTGTTGGAGTTATTGTTTGTTGCGTTGTAGCCAGTGATTTGTCGCTTTTTTTTGGGGTGGGGGGTGGTGGGAGCTTGTGGTTTTGGAGAATGTTTTAGGGTCGAGAATTATTTGGGCTACAACAAACAACGACAAACTCGCCAGGGATGTTTTGATTTGGATTATTGGCGCGTCGGGTGATCGGAATTTCTGCTCAAGCTCCCAAAATTCCAAGTCCCACCGACTACCTTTTCTTCCAACCCCATGGTTTTTCCGGTGGTACACGCGTTCCCTTTTCACACGCAGATGCTCCCAAACGTGATTACATGTTAACGCCCGGGTGAAAAGTACAAACAAGCGGCCGTATAGAAATGGAAGGGGAAACGTTTGAAGGAGAAATTGTGATTTATCTCCCGCCCTCGGTCATACTTTTTCTGGAAGGACAAAAAATTTTAGCTGATATTTGCCGACAGCGCAAAAGCGATGCACACACTCGCCTCTCGAGCGCTCTTTTGCCGCTCCACGAAGCAAATAACCCCGTTCCTGCACGCGAAAATATCAGTCTTCATTCAGCTGTTTGCTCGAATTTCCTGAACGCGAAGAAGCACGATTTTCTATTTCGTTTCGAAAACAAAAAAAATCGGCGTCTGACCGAATACTGACTTGTACTACTGAAATGTGCTATTGCTCGCATTTTCTACCACCAAAACGACCAAATTACTTGGTAGAGCGATGGAGCACTATTACAATCATCCACAGACCAAATCACTGATCGCACCTAGCAGTAGAAACTTTTAAAGATGTAATCTACGTATTCAAGAACAGCAGAGCACTTTGCAGTACGCGTGATTCGTGTGAGTCGTAAGACAAGGAATAAAAAAGTTACTTTCAAAAACGGCCCCAAACAGTGTCTCCGTGGTTCAGTAGTATCGTACTCGTCCAAAATCTAAATTTTTTGGGGGCGCATAATCCGTGGAGACGTGGGGCTGAAATCTAATTTAGTTAACGACTCTCTCGACGCCCCGTGACGGGTGGCTTCTCTCTTGACGTTAAATAAACACTCAGACGCACGGCCAGTGTGTCAGAGGCAACGCGTACGATGGAGATCTTTTTAATTACCGGCCTTAATTTTCATCTTCTTCATTTGGAGTGGCGCGCTTAGCAAGGGGTAAAAAATTATCAAAAGTCCCGCGCTTCTCGTGAACTGATTACCAAATGTTTTCTTTTTTCCTTCCAAGTGCCCGTCATTTTTCAGCTGCAGCAGAGATTTTTTTTCTCTTGTATTGTTACTTTTTTTTAATGATTGTTTCAAGAGAACTCGTTAATGAGGCTGGGAGAGCTAGTCTTGATGAAATTTCATTCGCTAATGATAATGATGAAAAAACGGAGTTTATCAAATTACTACGTGTTGCGATGAAACGTTACGTAGAAAATTAGTTCAATTTTTAAGACCGGAGGTGCGAGCAATGAAAATCTCCCAGTTTTCATTAAAAATAAGGATATTTTTAATTATCTAACAGAGGAAAAATCAGCTTACGTAGATTTATCCTGACAAATTACAAAAAATGACGGCACACAACAGGAAAAAGGAAGATTGGTGGCTTTAAGGAAAACCTTGGACCGCATCGAATAATCGACGCACGAGTGCGCTTGTAAAAAGCTGCTACAGCACTCGGGGGTAAAGTGCGCGTTGGGCGCAAAATTTAAAATCTCGTTATTAAAATTTTCGCAAAAGCAGCCGCGAGTTCTCGCTCCATTGTTATTCAAATGGGGATACTAAAGTCCGCCGGTGTCGAAGGAGCTCCGGCTCTTGTTCGCGTTTAAAGTAAAACACGAACTCTCTGCCGTCGATGCCCGTGTACTAGAAATTTTTTGTTTTGTTTTTGTTTTATTGTCCCGAAGCGATGAAAAGTCTCTAGCTGGTATTGCGTAACGAAAAAAAAAAAAGGGAAAAAAAGCTGATTCTTCTCGCAAAGGCAAACAGTAGTTGTGAGAGGCTGTAATGAAAGCTGGCTCCTTAATATGCGAGATTTCGCGCGAGAAAATCGAAGGAAGGGCGCGAATAACCCAAAGAAAATCACGAGTCCCTTTTACGCGCTGTCGTAAAGAAGTCGGAGCACGTCAAGACCCTCGACGCGTGCACGTGGCTCCGACAATTGGGGCCCGCTTGTGTTACCCTATACACTCGCTCGAGCGCCGTGGTACGGCAGACCGTGGAATGGGGCGGGTCGGCTGGGGAGGGGTGACGCTAATGCATCCATGAACGATATTACTCCTTTGCATTATATGTACTCGGTGTGCGCGTGTATATGGGTATACAGCCGGCAAGTTTGACTACTTGCATTACTCGAGCTGGAGGAGGAGGGGGCAAGAAAGAGCTTAACGGAGCGGAGCAGATCTCGTTTTCTGGGATGTGAGCCACGCGGAGTGCACGGTGGGTGAATCTTATTTTTATCATCGAATCAGCATCCGCCAGTCGTACAGAACTGCCGTGCGCGCCCTGTGCTCTGGAGGGCCTAATGGACGGCAGCTTAAGCAAAGTACGTATTTTTCAAGATTTTCTTTCATTTTTTTTATTTTTTTTTTTTTTTATTAAAAAAATAAAATTACAATGGTAATTAGCAGCTGTGGAACTGGAAGATGATCAGTTTCAATGAGTATTGACGTACAGAAAGAATCGCCTAGCCGCGTGATTACATTAATAATTTGTTCAATAAGTTTCGACAAAATCAAGTTTCAGCTGTAATCGAGGGCAGCAGGCCAAACGGATCGATGTATAATTTTCGAGTTTGGTAACTACACAGAGCCTCGGTGTTAAAATATTTACCCGTTTCATTCTTTCGGACGATTCTCTTTTTCAGCCGCGCTACGAAGCTGCTTTTGTACTTATGAAACTGAATCATTCATAAAGACTGAATTTTGCAATACTTAAAAAAAAAATTTGTTAAACTCCCGACCATTTACAGCCACTCAAATCGTTATCAATAATTAAATTTGCATTGAGTAGAGGGAAAAAAATCACCTCGAGCCGATCATAGTTGCACCGGAGTAAGTTAATAACCCCCCCACGGACCAAACGCTTTCTCGCAGGGAGTCGAGGGAGTCCCCTCGTGCGAGTACTTTATTCTTTTTAATCAAGCGTCGACGCAGCTCCACATAAACTAAGGCTCTATGCACGCGAGGCGCTCTCAAGACCCCCAACCGAGAGTTTACGCGCGAGCAAAAGGCCGAAGGGTCCAAGTTGTACCGGCTAAAACTTTCCAAAGAGCACATAAATAGCGCAAGAGCTCAAACATCGAGAGTTCCGTCGGCGTCAATGTATATACACGCGAAAGAGCCGAAGGATGCCGTACAAAATATACACGCGGTTTTAAGGATTTCCTCGTCGGGTGTGTAACGTACAGCCACGAAATGTCGTAATCTCGGGCTATGGAGCGAGTGGACGAGTTTACCGGAGGGACTTACTTTGCGCGGCAGGTCGCTTTTTAGATTCGCTACGGATGAGGCATTGGGACGGGATTCTCCTTTTCAAGGAGGTGGTGGCTCGATGACGGATTCCGCGCGATGTTTCCACTCGTA